TGCCTTGAGTCGTTCATATTTGTGAAAGACATGACGCGGCATACCGAAAGACCGCTGTGTAGCAGTAGAACTTCAGGAATTTTTTTTCTTTCTTTTTTTCCAAATCGGACATTTGTATTGCAATTGTCTGAAATGAATTACGGATACTGGCTCAACGTGAGGAAGGAAGAAGACAAAAGATACCTTGAAAAAAAAAAAAAAAAAAAACCGTCCAAAGAAAACAAGGTAGCCTGCTATAAAACCGCCGTAAAAGAGTTAACTTGGGAAAGGTTTATTTTTATTCACTCACATGGTTAATGATTAACAAACTATTCATGAATTTAAATATGAACACGCGGGAGGTGGTGGCGTTCGGTGGGAGGAGCGGCAACGAAAATGACAAAGTCGTACGAAGTCGCCAGTAAAGTATAGGGCGTACCCAATATTATCAAAAGAATATGAGATCGCAAATAGTAAGCGGCCAGTAATGTTCGCGGAGCTAGATCATAATGAATTAATAAAAAGGGAAATCTCTTGCGAGAGCCATTTTCTCTATATTAGCGAATATTGCCGTCATTGAATATATATATATATGCAACTTAATGTGGCCATTGTTCGAAATATACGCTGATAATTCGTATAATCGACAGCATAATTATTTAAAATTTTTTCACCTCTAACGTCTTCTCTCTCATTCACCGTGTTATTCTTATTAGAAGCGTGTGGCAGAAAATAGCGTTAAATCACTCGTGAACGAAAATAAAATCAATATATATATATATATATATATATATATATATATTGTTTAGAAAAATTATATATATATATTGTTTAGAAAAATTATATATATATATATATATATATATATATATATATATTTAGTTTAGGAAAATTACCACGGGAAAAATGATTCAATTTATTGTTATAAAATGAGTGAAACGCAGAAAGTAACAGTTATCAACCCAAGGGGTGGAATTGGCGTGCTGAGTTCAAATCCCACTAAGTACAGTTTTACAGTTGAAATGGCTAGATGGAACCGCAAGTTCTATGCTAATAGTTTCTTCTATCGAATTCCTCTTTTCTTCTGCAACTCTCTTCCGGATTTTTATATCCCAGTCAACTTTGATTTTCAAAAATCTAAATACAATGTCAATCGTTATCTTCTGTCTTCTTAATTCCTGTTTTTTTTTTTTTTTTTCTCCTTGATAAAGTTTTTTTTTTATATTCTCTAACCCCTTGCATCTTACTGGCTTTATTGCCTTGCTTAGGGTGAAATGATTTTTTAAAAAAGCAAAAAAAAAAAAGTTAGTCGATTAGGAAAGACATGAAACCATCTCTTCACCATCTCCACCGGCTATGGGTTAAATAGCAAGGTAGACTGATTTCTATAGCCTTGGGAGGTAACCAGTCTAAGAGGAGGATCATTCTGTATTCAAAACCCTGTAAAGACAACGAGAAGTGCAGACGCTCCACACTCTTTCTCAAGAATTCGTGGCAATTTCTAGATAATAAAAGAAGAGGGAATCTGTGGAGAGCCATGATTCCCTAAGTCCTGAAGGAAAATGGCATAAAAATCCAAGAAGTAAACTAAGAGAGTATTGTGAATGTGTGGATAGTGTAACGGTTATCGGGGCAGAAAGGACGAATCGGCTTGCCGGGTTCGAATTCTGTCTGTGTCTTTTTCGTTCTCTTTGAATTAATGTCCTTGGTAATGACGTGAGTACATAATCCTACGGCTATGGGTAGACTAAACTCTTGATCCTTACTATGGACAACCAATTCAGAAGGGCAATTCTGAATTCCAAAACCAGCCTGGCGAGGGTAGGCTCCATCAAGTTATCTTGGCCTAGACATGCCAACTGTTACGATAACGAGGCTACAGTATATACGTTGCCTCTATGACCCTAATAGCTTTTGTAATCGTAATCGTGAGCTCCATTTATAATAAACAGTAATAATAACATTGCAGTCTGAATATTCGCCGAGAAATTTTCATAGAAAATATTCATCCTCTGAGAGTAATCGAATCTGTATCCTATATAACTGTCAGATAGCCTGACGTGCCTTAACCAATTGAGGCACATGGACCGCCTGTTTGATATATATATATATATATATATATATATATAAACACACACATAATGAAGATTAAGGTCAACACCCAGCAACAACAGTGCATTTTATGCTTAAATGCAATCAGCATGACCTGACAATTGTGTCTAAGCATGAAACAGACCGTCACCACTGGGTGTTGACCTTCATATCCACTTTTATATTTACACAGGCTCTATCCTTGATATCAACACTTTTAACTCAAAAATATAGCATAAACATATATTTTTTATTTTATTTATATATATATATATATATATATATATATATATATATATATATATATTATTGAGTGTAAAGTACTCAATATCCATGATAGAGTTCACATATGCAACTGCATGGATAGTAGTTTGTATGTAACCCCAGATTTCACGTTTTTGCAATCTGTACAGTGTTGAAAAGCTTGTTCAGGGTAAAGTGGCTATATATCATATGGGGTATTGAATTTTACCCTACATGTAATTTTATATATGTTTCTATAAAATACATTGAGCTCTCTCTGTGGATCAGTTTTATTTCATACTAAGATTCACTTGGATTAATTACCACAGATTTATATATATTTCTCACACACTGATGAAGAAGGACATAGGTGCCCAAAATTCTTGACTAATAACATTAATCTCCATGCTTCATTTCTGTCTTGTGATTAACAATATATAATAAATGTGTTTTGCACTGATCACATTGGTACCTTTTCGTTTTCCCTTGTTTTATTAACCAACCTATCTATTTTAAATACAAGAAGCACATGTGGACTCTTCCTCTAAAAATATTTTTTGAGCGCTTAGCCTTGGAGTGGGTAGAATGGAGATCAACGTATTTTAGTGAACTCAGCAGTTTTCAATCTACTTGTCTGAATCATCTTCAAGAAGCAAGAGCAAGATCTAAAAGGTCAGCCAATCTAACAGTGATCTCATCTGACAATCCTCACATTTGCTCTATATGTGGCCTCCTTTGTAAAATCACTAAGCGGTCTTAAGTGCCACTTAAGATTATCACACAAAATTTCATAACTGAATTAATTAAGCTGTCAGATCTTCTATACATCAAAACCAACGAGAGAGTCCATTATATATATATATATATATATATATATATATATATATATATATATATATATATATATAACTGCATATTTACCTATTCCAGATGATCATTATTGTTTGGCTATCATCCAGTTCAGACTCCTTCATGTTTTTTTTTGTTTTTTTTTAACAGGTGTGGAGGTTTATCCCTTGTTTTTCTATTTGCTTCTGGTTTCTTCTAAAGTCTACTTTAACTCACTTCTAATGACTCCACCTAAACTCTAAAATTTATACTATAATTCAGTTTCCAGTTCCTTCTAAAGTCATTTCTTATCTTTCCTTCCAGTAGCCCATTGAGTATTTTATTTTTTATTTCCCCTTGACATGTCAATGTTCCTTGACATAAATTTACTACTTAGTTAATATTATACTTGCCTTGAGCATCAATAATTATATCAAATATTATTCTATCCTCCTTATCCTCATAAATTCACTTCCTATTTTACCTTTCATCCAGATCACACACCTCATTCATCACAACCATTTTAACAGTAATCCACTATCTTGATTGGCTCTCTAGCACTGTATAGGCTGAACTTATTAAAAACAATATATAAACAGTACTAATATACAATAAATATTTATATTTACTGTGCATATAAATATGCTCTCTACACATCTAAAATTTATTTTCTATCTTTAACAGTGTTACTTAATATTATCTTATAATCCGTAAGCTTCGTTTAATCTCATAACTCTACAATCCGTAAGCTTCGTTTAATCTCATAACTCTACAATCTGTAAGCTTCGTTTAATCTCATAACTCTACAATCTGTAAGCTTCGTTTAATCTCATAACTCTACAATCTGTAAGCTTCGTTTAATCTCATAACTCTACAATCTGTAAGCTTCGCTTTTAATCTCAACTCTACAATCCTGTAAGCTTCTGTTTAATCTCCTTAACTCTACAATCTGTAAGTTTGCTTAATCTCATAACTCTACAATCTGTAAGCTTCGTTTAATCTCATAACTCTACAATCTGTAAGCTTCGTTTAATCTCATAACTATAATCCATAACATTTATTTAATACCATCCCATATTTATCTAATCCACATGCTTTGTTTAATCCCATAACTCTAATTTGTAAACTTTGTTTATTGTTTGTTTGTTTGTTTGACAGCATATCAACACCTCAATGGGTCATTTAAGGGCAAAATTTAATTTTCTTGGGATCTTGAGTAATTTTTCTTTTTACAAAAATCTGTCACAGGTAATTTATTTTTTTTAAACCTATACTTTTAGATTTTTGACACTAGTTTGGGGAGTTCAATATTTACCCATAGCTGGGACCTAACAGGTGTTACCACCCCAGGCCAGGGTGGACCTGGGAACAACAGCAATTAAGAATTAGTTCCAAGAGGTCTTGCTGCTGGATGTAGTTTCTTGTCATAAGCAGGATGAAAGCTTTGTTTAATGCCATCCCATAACTCTGTAATCCGGAAGCTTTTCTTAATCCCATAACTCCATAATCCGGAAGCTTTTCTTAATCCCATAACTCCATAATCCGGGCTTTTCTTAATCCCATAACTCTGTAATCCGAAGCTTTTCTTAATCCCATAACCTCTGTAATCGAAGCTTTTCTAATCCCATAACTCCATAATCCGGAAGCTTTCTTAAATCCCATAACTCCATAATCCCGGGCTTTTCTAATCCCATAACTCCATAATCCGGAAGCTTTTCTTAATCCCATAACTCCATAATCCGGAAGCTTTTCTTAATCCCATAACTCCATAATCCGGAAGCTTTTCTTAATCCCATAACTCCATAATCCGGAAGCTTTGGGCGTAATGAAACACCGAATCCGTCAGATGCAACTCTTACCCGACTTCCTTTTGATTTTGTACGTAATTCTTCTGGCTTCCGCTTTTTTGCCTCCTCTTTCTGACGTTCTTCCGCTTTCCGCTTTGCATCCCGCTGCTGTTTCCGCTCCTCTTCCTCCTGCTTCATTTTCTCTTCTCTCTGCTTCTGTTCTTCCTCTCGCTTCCTCCGATCCTCTTCCAACTTCATCTGCCGTGATGACTCAACAACTTTCGTGTTCTAAATTGCAAAAAAACAAAAATTCATGTCATTTCAGTTAAGCCTATAATTACTGAGTACCAAGCAAGATTACATGGTACTGCCCGTAATAAATATCTTTTCTTTTAAAAATGTGGATGAAAATATAAGCCATCAGCTGAGTTACAAGCATTGCATACTTCTTTCATTCTTTCAATGAACTCATGAATATTCCCCAAGCAATAGCATAAAGAAGGATTCCCATTGCACATGCATTTAAATACTTAAAGTTAACAAAAGAAAAACCTAAAACCAGTGATGCTGATAGGTTTTTAATATAGTGAGTCCCAGGGACCCACAGATAATGATTTGGGTGGTTCCCAGGGAAATTCAATGAGTCCCAAATAAAGTTTCTTAATAAATTTTTGTGTTAAACTGTAAGGCTACAGACTAAGATTATTTTTACCATTGTCCCCAAAAACAAATCACTTAAATTGATAGAACTTTTTTTTTTTTTTTTTTTAATTAAATTAATAAATTCAAAATGGAAACTAATATTTACACTTAATCACAGTTCAATTAAGCAGCTATATTTTCTTGAGAATTATGATAGAGCAGTTGGCTCCAATAAATACATAGTGATATGTAATTTTTTTTTTTTTTAAGGTTTGCCCTGTACAAGGACTGGAGGCCATTTGAGGTAGATGGTTACATTAAGGGCTAGTTCATATAGATAGAAGGGTAAGATAACAGTTAACTCTAGACTTGAACAGGTTAAGATTGTAGTGATCGGGGGAAACATCCTCTTGAGTCTGTTCCATAGTTTGCAGGAAGAAGCTGTTTGAGTGGAGCTTATATCTCACAGATGGAATATAGAGGGAATGAGGGTGGTTTGTTACTATGTAAGTGGCATGGTGGGTCCTAGCTGTGAGATGCAGTTCATCCGAGCACTTTGGTAATAGTAATAGAGCAACGAGATGCTCGCCATATCCCACCTGTGAGATAGAAGTCGGAGTGTGGAAAATAATTCTTCTCTAAAAAGGACTCTGAGAAACTGACTGTCTAATTAGCATCACTAAGGCATAGAGACTATATAAGTGTCCAAGCAGTAAGAGGAGGGGCATGATACACGAGATTAACAACTACTTCTGGACAGGGAAAACATGAAGAAAATCATGTTTCATAACAAAATAAAAAGATAATTTTCAAAGACAACTGTTTAATCATGATTACCAGTGAGATGTCGGGCAACTGTTTAACCATGATTACCAGTGAGATGTCGGGCAACTGTTTAACCATGATTACCAGTGAGATGTCGGACAACTGTTTAACCATGATTACCAGTGAGATGTTGGCCAACTGCAGAATTAATTGGATATTCTGAATCCAAAATGAAGCATGCTGATTTTTTTTTTTTTTTTATTCAAAATGTTTTGTACTAAAATCAAACATGAAAAAAAAAGAAAAAAAAAACTTGCCTGTAGTTTTAATAATTTTTCTGTCTTCCTTTTGATATCCTGGAAAATAAAAAAAGAACAGGATTTATTTAACCAAATGTCAAATACAATATTAAAAAAAAAAAAAGTTACATACAGTGCTGTTCAATAAAAGTGACTCACCTGATTTTTTTTACTAAAAATATTTTTTGACTATTGTTTTTGGGATTAAAATAATTTTTAATCTTACTAATATAAAGACCCCTTCCTGACAACTTAGGAAAAAAAGTTTATTCACCCTAAGGTATTCTGTTGATAATTATAAATTTGGATATAAGTGAGATTCAGGAAAAAAACTGCAAAAAAGTGACTCAGATATCACATTCTAATGATTAAACTGGTAAATTTAAAGAGCTTTTGAGAAAATATTGAAAACTATTTTACAATACACTCAGAACAATATTCTAGAGAATTCTAGAACACCTTAAATTAAACTTAGAATACTCCAGAAAGCCTCATACAGTATAAAAACTGCTTGAAATAGCCACTCAAGTCACTAATCAGATGAAAGGGTACAAACACGCATCAGAACCACTTAAGGCATCTATTATTGCCCTCTCAAAAGCAGGCAAGTCTATGAGAGAAATTGCAGAAATTGCTATAACCTCACAATCAATTGTCTCTCGAGCGCTTAGGGTACATGATGATGCCACTTCTGCTCCAAGGAAGGAAACAAGGGGACGAAAGAAAAAGATTGATGATAGAACTAGCAGGGTAATCAAGAGAAAAGTTGCAAAGAATAGGACTATAACTAGGCAAGAAATTGCAGCCAGTCTAAGCGAAGAGCAAGGTATTAGTCTTGCCTCTTCAACTGTCTGTCAGAACAAGGTTACAAATCTTGTTAGAACAAGGCTACAAATCTTGTACACAAAGGTTTAAGCTGCTAATAAGCAAAGCCAACAAAGCCAAGAGACTTGAATGGGCTCACTATTTGTTATGATGCTAATTTGGGGTTAATAAAGACAAACGCCAAATAACATGTAACAATAAAATGGGGTTTATTCCGTTGGTAAGTTGGTGAAATCGCCTGAGTAGTCTATATAACCTAACCCAGCCCAGAACTTCCCGACACTGTCTTTTGACATGCCACTCTTTTAACGTCCTTGTTTGTAGACGAGTTCATCTTCAAGAGGGGTGGTAGGTTCCTACAACACCTCCCCCTTGAGATTAATCGGAGGAATTAATATTTTTTTCTTTGGGATCTGGACTAAACGCCCACCCTTGTTCTTTTTTCTTAACATATACAACAGGCAGGGCCCACTCTGAAAATTCAATGCGTGAAATAACTCCTAAATTTTCAAGTTGCCCAATTTTTTGTTAATCTGTTCCAAAACACCAAATGGCACATTTCTTTTCGCTTGAAAATAGGTTTTACATTTTCCTTCACTTCAAATTTTGCCTTCACCTTTTTGCAACATCCAAGACCTTTCTGAAAATACTTGTGGAAATTTTATTTTCAGATCTTTCAAATTTTCTGTAACCCGATTTTTACACGGAGAAGAAACATTAATTCTATTGCAAAAAGAATTTATAGGAGTTTCCATAAATTAAAAAGTATAATCCAATCTGTTCCAAAACAAATTTGAAGCATTTTTGTAGCACATACACTTTAGACTTTAGTGTCTTAATAACAAATGAAATATTACAAGAAAATTCACCTTGAAAATGCAATTTTCTTTAGAAACTCCATGAGCCACTTTTTTCAGTCTTTTTAAAGCAAAGGTCTGCCTATTTTAATCCATGTTGCTGTATTAATAATGGAAATATCACTTCCAGTATCTAGCTGTAGTTTAACATTTTTTCCATTAATTTTTACTTCATGTAATTTTCTTTCTGCCCTCCTCAATCTCCTGACGGACAACACAATATTCACAATATCTTTTTTCGACTTTTTTTTTTTTTCTTTTGCTTTTACAATGAGTACTTATATGGCCTTTATTGCCACAAGAATATAAATTTTGCTAAAAAAACATTCACTTTTACAATGACCACCACCGCATCCAAAAGCACGTTGGTTTTTTAACGTTTTATTAACTATTCCCGTTTTTGGTGGAATAGCATGGACACGGATATGTCTTTTTTCTTCAATTTGCGTATTGTCATGTTTTAAGTTTTTTCACCTTTTGACACTCTTCCGTAACCTTCTGCAAAAGTGATCTCGGAATTTTGTTCGAAGTTTGCAATATTCGACCTTATGTCCTTATCTTTGCTAGAAGTCGCCTTGAACGAATATCAAACATTTAAATCGATCAATTGAAGATCATGTAACATAAAACGTTCACACATTATGTTAACATTTCCAGCATACGAATAATATCCTCATCACACGCTTTTTTACCATATTCAAACACGAAACGAGTATGAAACAAACTAACTTCCTTCAAAAAATACTAAATAAAGTATTAACAGTTTCTTGAAAGAAATGTCACTAATTTTTCATGGAAGGACAAAATTTGTATACTTATTATTTTCATCTGTACCCAACTTTTGTAAAAGTAAACTCACTTTTTGTTCATCAGTCCAACCTTCACATTTTTTTTTTCAAATATTGTTTCAAATCTTCTGAAATCGCGGAAATGTTATACCCTCCTCTGGGTTAAATTTGAACTCAGTAATAGAATTAGCAATACACCTTTCGCCGTGAATGACAAATTTACTGGATTCTTTAGTAAAATTGCTTCAAATAAAGCCTTTGTGTCATTTCACTGCTGAACTTGTAAATCAATAGTTGTTCCCAAACAATTTTTTTGCTTTGTTGCAATCTTTTGTTGCTCTTGTTGCTGAATTTGATTTTGCACTAGAGTTTTCGTTAATGCAATCAAATCTTCCATTATCGTAATAGATTACACAAAAACACTTTTTTCGAAACAGTCAAAAAAGAAAAAAACACGTATATCCAACAATAAAGCACAAGTCTTACTTTTTTTGGCACGTTGAAATCCTATTTCTTCTTGAAGAACAAAGTTCGATTTATTTTTTTTTTTTTTCTTTCAGTGCGAGAAAAAAAAAATTATATAGTCCACCTAGAGTTGAAAAATTCCCCACCAGCGTGATGAATGAATCTCTCGTCGCCACTGTTATGATGTTAATTTGGGGTTAATAAAGACAAACGCCAAATAACATGTAACAATAAAATGGGGTTTATTCGGTTGGTAAGTTGGTACAGAAATCGCCTGAGTAATCTATAACTAACCCCGCCCAGAACTTCTCCGACAATGTCTTTTGACATGCCACTCTTTAACGTCCTTGTTTGTAGACGAGTTCATCTTCAAGAGGGGTGGTAGGTTCCTACACAACACTATTACAAAAGTTTCACCGTAGAAGACTGGAAGAATGTTCTCTTCTCAAATGAAATGAAAGTTGAGTTAAATTCAAAGGATAAGATAAGTCACTTTTATCAAACAGCACTGTACAAAACAAAATTCCTTTATATCGATCCCCAATCATTTAAGAATTGAAAATAATAACTCCTAAGATAAAAGTAATAAAATAATTCTGATATTATTCCAATATTTCTTGTAAGAATACATATAAATTTTTGCAAGAATTTTAAGTTTCTCTCAGAAAAATCTGTATATCAATTTATGATAAATGATTGATATGAAATAACAAAGTATGCAAGATGGAATATGTGAGAACCAATTGGATGTTGAAATTTTCTCCTAAAATTTATCCTTATATATAAATCCAGAAATATCTAAAGATATTGTTATTTTTTGTGCATAATACAAATTTTTAACAAAAAAAAAAAGTGGAGCTTGTATTTTCAGAAATTTTTTACTCAGCTTTAAAAATCCTCTTATTTGAAACAGCAAGATTACAAATACACTCCATTAGCAGAATAGATAATATAACACAAAGTAGACAGGTGTTGATAACAATTGTTTGAAAAAGGGATTTGATATATCTGTAATATTTGCTCTTTGAGATTTTCCTTTACCTTGTATACAGTTTGCCCAAGTTGTGGCTGATTTAGGTTTTAGTAAGTAATTCAGGTTTCAGGTGTGTGTGTGTGCGCGCGCATATAGTGAATGACCACTGTATCTATAACACCTGAGGAATAAATATACTTATGTACGCACAAGTATTTGTGTGTGTATGTACATTATATATATATATATATATATATATATATATATATATTATTTTTAAGTTATTCAACATCGCTTTTGAGAATGGAAATAAAAATTTTAATTTTAATTTTTAGTTCTGAAACACAGTCATTTATGTGTCGCGATGAAAACATTCTTATAATATAAAACAATCGAAATATTGACCAAAATTTCTGAACAAATGTTTAAACAGAAATTAAATTTTTGTGCATATCGTTGTGAAGATTACAATCTTTTTTTGTCCACCTGTTTTCCTATGAAGCAGACAAAAAGAGGTAAAATCTAATTTCCTTGTAGAATTTAATAGAAATTTTCTTACATCTTCAAGTTCTTTTTGCTTCTGTGCTTTTGATTTCACTTCTTTCTTTAAAAATCCTTCTGGAATATTCATTTTCTGCTCAGCTGAAGAACATCTGCCAAAAGACACATGGCTATATGGAAAAAGCATCAAACAAATAAAGAAAAAATTCTTCTGTCATTCATTTCATATTTACATTCTCTTGAATAATCAAAAGTTTAGTATATAATAGACTGAACTAATTTCCCCCTACCCCAGAAATGTACCTACTAATAAAAACAAAATTACTTATTTCAAAGTTAGATATTTTCATTTTTCATCTCAAATAATCTCAGTAGGTAAAAATTAAAATTTCACTCACTTGTTATGTGACAAATCTGGATTCATGCTACAAACCCAATCATCTGGGAAATCACGCCCGACATTGTTGGCTGAATATGGTAAAGTTCTCCATTTGAGGCAAGCATCTAAAAGAAAAATTGAAGAAACATTTAAATGGGAAATGTTTTTTAGGGACAATATTTTAAATATATATATATATATATATATATATATATATATATATAAGACATATAGTTTTAAGGTGTGCTATATTTATGGGATAAAGTGTTCAATATCAGAGATAGAGCATATGTAAATATAAATATAAAAGTGAACATTGAAGTCAATACTCAGAGGCTGTTTCATGCTAGAGGCAATCATCAGACAGCCTGATGATTGCATCTACCATGAAACAGCCTTTCATTTCTGAGTGTTGACTTCAATGTTCTCTTATATATTCCCTATTTTGTCACCTGTGTTTTATATAGATTAAGGCATTGGTTAAAATACATCTGCTATCTTGGCAGGTGTGAGTTCAATCTCTGGGCCTGGTAGTGCTGCAAAGTCACTTACTCTGGTTCAGTGGAAGAAACTCCCAAAGCAACATTAAGGTGAATAAGACTGCTGAGTAGTAAATAATATGAAATCTTCTGCAAGCATTGGAAAGTGAAAGAAGAATCTGTGCCCAGAAGATTGAAGAAAGGGTTCTGTTCAAAATTCTAAGAAGGTTACTGAGTACAAAGACAAGACACCTGAAGAGGGCCAAAGAGTTCAAATGCCAAAACACTAAGTATAAACAACCAAGACGAGCATTCTAGTCTGAATAGCAAAGAATATAAAAGATAATAGAATTTTTTGTTTTTATATCTTTGTTTTACTTCAATCAGTTCACCCCAAGCAAGGAGAGAAAGATGAAATGGATTACTGAGAGTGAAAGAATCTGAGAAAGATCCTTATTAATGAGAGAGGACAATAAAAGAACATTCAAAGAAACAGAAGAGGATGATTTACATTGCATTTAAATTCTTGAAGCCCATAGTTGACTGGAAAGTAAGAATCTGAAAGAAAGTTCTACAAATATGAGAAAAGAAACTGTTAGCATAAAACTTATGATCACATTGAGCAATTTCAGCTGTAAAATGATGAGACCTAGCTGCCAATCTAGTACTGCACTTAAATTCATAAAGTTGAGATACCAAAGAGGAAAGCTTATCAGAACAATTCCTGTGAAAATATTCATAAAAAAGGTACAGGGAAGCTACATTACAGTGATGGCAAAGTGACTGAAGCCAAGAATTTCTTTCTCTCTGTGTGTATATATATATATATATATATATATATATATATATATAGCAGACATGCCCTACCAGATGTGGTAGAAATATTTCATGCATGTATCAGAAATTGATTCAGAAATTCATAATACTGCCAGAACAAAGTATATTAGAAATGTAGAAAAGAAAAAAGTGAAAGAATAGAAAATAAGCCTGTGAAAAGATAGATTATTTCACTAAAGTATTTTATTAAGCAATAAAGTTAGAGACAAACAGACATCAGTGGAAGGACACTCAGTAAGTTTAGCAAAAGTTTATTGTTAGTGTATTAGTAAAAGAGTAGTCAGTACTTACCACATTGTAATGTAGAACTAACTTGCATTGCTCTTCGTCGAGCATATTTCGGGTCTGTCGAGGGTGGGTCTTTCCATTTCGTGCTAATATAACCAAAATTTGACCTATAAAGAAACAACATAAAATTGACAAATATCTACTAAAAAACACATAAATAATAGTTAGAAATTTTAAAAATATGTATTTATTAAATGAATCATTTATAAATTTAAAATATGAAAATACACAAGCACACACAAATAAATATGTGTGTGTGTGTGTGTGTGAATAAAAAGAGACAAGAGGAAAAACTATACTTAGCCAAAACATTTCATCCTCTGAGGGACTTTACCAATGCAATGTAGGATAAACCACCTGATGAATATTCATGAACATTCTCAAATTTAAAAGCCTTGATAAACCAATGACATCCTTGCTTCTGTGTATATAAACATGTGAAGCGTAATAAATCCAACATTGGCTTGATAAAGTCCGTCAGAGGGCTAAACATATCGGCTAAGTATAGGTTTTACTCTTGTCTCTTTTTATTCATTTTCTTTTCTATAAATACATGCATCAGAGAATATTTATATATATATATATATATATATATATATATATATATATAAGGTTGATTGCACAGCTGTTTGAGGTTTCCCTGACAGACCCACTGAACTTAAATAAAGTCAATTCAGGTTTCCTATGGTAAAATTTTTCTTTCCCAAGTGAAAATCATCACAAAAATAGCAAAAGTCATTTTGTCACAGCTTATTTTCTCTCAAAATATGGGTTTCATACTTTTTTAGGGTAAAATATTGAAAATGACTGTTTTATCATCACCTAAACGAATATCAAGGAAACTTTGATCTGAACCCCATGAAATTAGGTATTTTCTGAAAGCAAAAGATATATTCTTTCATTTAAAAAGTAAAATTAGCTGGTGTAAATGACTCAGTCATTTTTCAGTGGGTAAAATGTGAAAAAATAAGTGAAAATTTTGCATTTTTTTCTTGTTCTAAAAAATATTTCCATTAATGGGAAATTAACCATTTTTTTTTTTTTTTTTGAAAATCAGAAAGCCTAGATCATAATCAAACTATTTCAGGCATAAAATTGAGAGTTTTGAAGGAAATAAATTCCTAGGGGTTCAAAAAATGCAACAAAATCCATTGTTAATTTTCAATTATTTTAAAAAAAATTGACACCCACGGAAATCTTTTAGTAAAAGGCAAGAGATTTATCTGAACCTAACCACCAGAAACCAAAAGTTTTTTTTTTTTCCTAAAAATAGTGATAAGGGAAAATAAACTTAATTGACTTTGACGCCTAGGTCAAAGGCCATGCCAGCCAAGCCAGCTAGCAATAAACGGACGGCAAACCTTAGAACAAGTTGTAATAAAACCCACCACTCCCAGATAAAAAGCAAAGGTGAATAAAAAAGGGTTCTGATTACTAGGGCTTCATATAACCTATGTTTTGAACAATGGCTTGATAAGTTTTGTTTTGTTTTAACACCCCGTGACCCGGTGATGACAACAACATTAGCAGAGAACATTGTTTTTTTTTTCATTTTATCTTTTGTATTTCCATCGCCGTCCATTTAGGCCTTTCTTTTTGCTTCAATGATGTTCATGCCAAATGAAAGAGAAAGGAATGAAATTTGAATGATGTTATTTTTGAAGCGAAAATGAATATTTTTTCATTAAAGGGATTTTCTCAGAAAATTGTGCATAATTTCTTAATGCTAACCGCCGAAAGTGACATTTTCCACAGCCAAATTATTAATTACCAGTGAATAATTCCATGTGCAAAAATAGCCGCCTGGATCCTATAAGGTCGCCTAAAAGGTCCAGAAGTTTACTAATTGATCGAAAACCTGTTTTTTTTAATTGTATTTTTCACGCCAGTTTCCATTATTTCATCTTGATATTATCATTTTCGGACAGCCAAGTCATCAAGGATTCAGGAAAACACTTTTGACATAGGTTTTCTTTTTAAGAAATTTACATTCAATGAAAAATTTAAAATGTTACTGACGAATTTTTTAATAAAATATTTGTTTTTTGTTGTTTTTTTCCTATATGACAAAAACAATTTTAAACAATGAAAACCAACTTGCTTATTTAAAAGAATATGAAGACTTGGTTTAAGGATTTTTATTTTATGGACTTTGTTGAGAGTATTACTTAAAGTATTGGTTTTAAAGTATCTATTTATTTTTTTGATTTTTTATTGAACATACGCTTACAATTATTTTTATCGAAAAGTTGCAGAAAACCATGTTCGGAGGCATTTTTTCAATAAAGTAAAAGCAGATAATATTTTTATTTTTAATTCAATCTGCATTAATTTAATATTTAAAACAATAGTCGTGTTCCTGGCCAGGTTTATGTTGTTTGATTTCTATTCGATAACAAAAGTAAAAAAGGGTGATGTAAAGAAAAAAGAAAAGTGCCTATTATTTTTTCTCACCCCAACTTTCTCCCACTGACTGAATGAATTTTGAGGACCAATTTATCATTATTGTTACATCTTTAAAAATCCTTAAAAATAAAAATTCATCAGAGATGTAACAGAGCAAACAAAGATTTCTTTTTGTACCTTTATGTCCTGTTCAACTCTAATTTGTAGGTCCAAATCCTTCAGTTGTTCTTGCCCCACCTTTTTATTCCTTACACGCACGAGATGTACAAAAAATTGATCACTTTAGAAAAAGAGTGATACGTCCCCCATAAAAAAAAAAAAAACTTGAAAAATATTAATTGATGAAAACCGGAAAGTGCCATAGTGATAAATACCCTGTAAAAAATGAGGATACTGATCACAATGGAACCTCGGCAGAGTTTCAGATTGTTTTGAGCTGATTGGGTTCTGGTTTGCCATTTTTCTTGAATGAAGTTGACATCATTAACAGCTTTAAATCTTTTCTGTCCATGTACATCACCAAAAGTTTTAACGAAGAGGAGGAATCGGTCATTAGGAAAACCCAATTGAAAAATGGAAAATAATAGAATTCTATTTGAGCTGAAATCAAACTCAGGACAAAAAAATTTACTCTACCTTGTAATATTTTTAGGTTAATCTGACAATGATACACACGAACGTAGTATAGTGTTTTTCAAACTAAGAGAATTTGAGGCTGTTTACAGCCCTTAGTTAAAAATATTTGAAAATGTATTGCAGCAATATCCAGACACTTTGGCCCTTATTGCTCAAACAAATAATTTTTTTTCTCTTAGACTGTGGAGTCCCAATTCAACTTGTATTAATCTAGTGATGTCTTAAAAATTTAATATTACAATATCTATAATGTTTTAAATTCCTGAAGTGTGTATACATTTTAAATTCATTATATACGAGTTAATACCAAGTGGTGTTTTTCTGTTTTATTTAAACTTCATATCTGGCTCAATTGTGTTCATGTTCAGTCTGATCACGTTCATTTATTTTTACATTTCCATTATTTTAAATAAGTTTACCCATAAATATAAAAAAAATAAAATTTTTTATCCTAAAAGCCAAAAAGAAAAAAAAAAAATACATAATCAAAAGACAATTTGACCATTCAAATGTCAGCCTGACAGAAAGTGAAATTTTATCATTTTAAAACCAGATTTTGACCAAATTTTTTGATATTTTAAATTTCCAATTAGATGTTGTAAATTTGTCACAAAGAAATGATAGAAGATTAAATCAAATGAATAAAAATTTAATGAAATGTTAAATAACTAATTTATTTGTTGAAATATTACCTGTTGATGAAGTTTTTTCATTAATACCTAAAATTCTTGATCCCAAATAATTATTGTTATGAAAATAAAATGTCATTAAAACAAGTGAGAATCAAACTGAGAATATCATAGAATATGGAACATTGAGGCAAAATTTTTAAACAAATGAACGCTTTTTGACAATTGATTGAGAAGCATACAACTATGCTTGTCATGCAATAAAAATAGTTGATCCCTATTCACAAGTCTAGGATGTTTTTTTTCATTTTTTTTTGCATACACGACAGTTTCTCCAAATAGGAGGTTGCTGTTATTGTTTTCCTTGAAAGAAGAATGAATAAAGATGAATAACCCCTTTGAAAGAACGTCAACTATAACCATTAAAAAAGGCAAGAATCATTGAAAGTTTTAAGTATTGTTTTGATCATTCATTTGCATCTAATGACTCAATTTAGCTACTTTTTACTGTTGTCAAAAGTATCCATTAAATCATCGGACTATTTTCCTATTTATTCGATAAAAATGGTTCCATTTGAGTTTGTAGATTCATTTGAAATCAAGATTATTAAAATTTGTTTCATTGTAATCATTTTCATGGGGCTTTATGAAAGAAATATATTGAAAGAAAAATTAACTGGACAAAGATAAATTGAGAATAGGAAACATTCAGTTTTTTATTTTAATAATTCGAGGTTACTCATATATTTTCAAAAATAACATTCTCAGCCAAAATGTATACATACATTTTATATATATATATATATATATATATATATATATATATATATCCTGAATTTTTAATCCCCACCTTCAACGTTAGAGCCTTCCTGTTCTTCTTTCAATCTGTTATACTGGCTTTCAGATGGGCTTAAACACAGAAGATGGACAGACAGCCCATCAAATACGCAACTAACTAAAATTTTGTTTTTAACGTGTCACCTTTTTCCAATTTGTTTTTGTGAATTTGTGTGTGTGATGAATTGATGTGTGTGTGTGTCCAATGTAATAAATTATAACCATGGAAATTAGTGTTTGATAATTTATTATATTCAAACTCAACCTCATTATATATTGCCGGTAATAAAACCTCTTGGAACCCTGAAGAAAAGAAATTTTCCTTTTGATTAAGAGTATCCATTTTTCATGATATAATGTTTCAATGGATAAAATTTTTCTAATTTTTCTCATATATATATATTGTACACATTGTTTCATTGTAACTATTTTCATGGGGCTTATATATATAATATATAGAAATAAAAATATATATAAATAAGTATATATATTTTTATATACTAAAAAGAAGTTATTATGAATAACATTTGTACCACCAACCAGAAGAAATGGCTTAAAAAAACATCATTTCATTTTATGTCATTTATTCAAAAAGGGTTAAAATTATGAATAAAAATCCAAATATCTTAAAATTTTATTTATTGTTTCAAACTGGAACATCATTTTAGATCTTCTTTTTCATTAATTTATTTTATTGATAATTTTACACAAGGAGAACTGTGAAAATATAATGTTTTGATGACACATGTTTGAAAATACCATTTATATTTAAATAATTTTTAAAGATCTTTTTTTAATATTTTTCAAAACTAAGATGATTTGTTTTATCTATTTTAAAAAAAATAAAATTCATGCCTTTGAAATTAAAAATTATGAGCAGTGCTGAAAAACCACAATAATAACTGAATTTATCTGTACAAAAAATCAATATTTTAATGATCAAACATCAGAATACTGATTTTGGGAAATGGATTAGAAAAAGAAACTTTCAACAACCCCTCATATCCAAAAATTGTTTTGTTTTTTTTTTTAAGAAAATAAATATTTTACGTATATTGCTCAAAAATAAATATAAGTAGGTACCTCCACGAAATCACTAAAAAATCAACATATTGTGAAGAAAACATGTTTGAAACATAATGAAAATATAGTTTTATCATCAAAATCTTAATTATTAAGACAAAGGTTCAAAGTATTTTTTGAATATTTAATGAAATTCTTTACTCCTATTTTTTTTTTTTTTTAAATCAAAATTTTGATTAAAAATCTTGTCTTGCTTGCATCAGATGTACTAACTTTTAGCATAACAAATTTTAGCCTCTTTTTTGTGGTGACAGAAACATTAATTTGGAAATTCTTGCAAAAATCAAATAACTGTCAAATTTTATTTAAATTTTCAGGACTTATTCACAAATGAATGAAATTATTTTGGAAATTTTTTATTAGAAAATTTTGGTAAAAATTTTTTTTTTATGTTTCATTTCTTTACTTAATTTTATGAAAACTTGAGAAATTCATTGTGATAATTTTTAGTTACTATATTTTTTAAAAGCAATATTCTTTGAAGAATTTAAATTGCCAAATTTTTTTTCAAAATCGGACCTCACTTACCAAAAATCTGTTCTGAATCAAAATAATAAAAAACACAATAAAACTAAGATATTATTTAATTAGAGAAGCTTTTAATTGCTTTTAGGAATAATATATGTTAAAGACAATATTGCCTGAAGAAGAAAATTTTTTGATGAAAAATTAATTTTTACAAGATTTGTTTTCATTTTTTTACAATTTTAAATTGAATAATTTATAAAGTTTTTAAATCTTTTAAAATTTAGTTTCAATGGTGTAACTCTTAGGAAATATTGTTATATGTAAAACTATATTTACTAATCATATATTGTATAGCTTATTACAATCTGATACACCCAAATATTTTTAAAAAGAATTTCAATTTTTTTTGTATATAAACATCCTAATTTTTTTTTAGTATGCTACTTCAAACATGACATTATCATTAAAAGGTTAAATGTTTAAAGGGTTGTCCTCTCCTTATAAAAATAAAAAAATCCTCATATAAAATTTATCATCTGCTATCAATTCTGCTTCACCATACTTGTCAACACGTTGGGCAGTTGATAAATCAATCAACACGTCAGAAAAAAATTCCCCGTAGTTAAGAAATGTTTGTATACAACATTTTATGCTATAAGTAAATAATATTTGTATTTTAAACCAAATTAATTTAAGTTTAAATTTGTTAATTTCTCAAATAACATTCCAGAAATATATATTTTATCTTTGAAAGATTTTTAAAACCAAGAATTAACTTTTGTTTACAAATGTGTCAAAATGGCAGACTAACAATTTTACCAAAAAAAAAAAAAAAAAAAATCAATACTAATCAATTTCTGTTTGAAAAACACCACTGAGTATTTTGCTTACTGGAAATAGTAAATTTTAAATCCTTTAGCTTTCAATTAAAGCTAAAATGAAAGCTTCAAGATAGCTTTTTTTCATTTTAAAAAATTCATTTTTAAACCTTACCTATTTCAAATTAGTGGAGGAACCTAAATATATGTAAAAAATATATAAGTAAGAAATAAATGATTTTTCAAAATCCTCACCAGAAACTTGTAATTCCTGTTTGATCTGGAAGAAAATTTTTTGAAAATTAAAAAAACTAAAATTTGGTTGGAACTGTTGAATTCAAATTCATACATTATTTTAGAATTACATATCAATGAATAAAAAATATCTCAAAAGGCACAATAGGGTTTATTCCCAAACCGACAAAGAATCTTAGCATTTATTAAGTAATAATTATTATTGACACTCCCAAATAGTGTATATTCATATGATACATATTTATATAGTCAATATTAATATGGTACGTAGTCAGTAGGGTATATATTTATATAGGCAATATTAATATGGTAAATATTTATATAGTCAATACAGACAATATTAATATGCTATATATTTATAGTCAATATAGTACATATTTATATAGTCAATATTAATATGCTATATATTTATATAGTAGTCAATATTAATATTAATATGCTATATATTTATATAGTCAATATTAATAAGCTATATATTTATATAGTCAATATTAATATATATTTATATAGGCTATATATATTTATATAGTAATAATATATTTATATAAGCTATATATTTATATATAGGCAATATTAATAAGCTATATATTTATATAGGCAATATTAATATGCTATATATTTATATAGTCAATATAGTACATATCTATATCAATAAAAAATTACTGATATTACCCTTATTTCATCTTTTCAATTAATGCACGTTATTATATTAATTACACATATAATTAATCATACATATTATAATATTAATTAAAAACAGAAAAAGTAAATGAAGAAATATCGAATTTCAATCAGTGCATGGAACTTGCAGATAAAATGTTCCATTCTGAGGAACACCAGATGGTGGTCAAATAGTAAAAAGGCACTATTAATTCTTCAGAATTAACATATTTGATGGCATGAAAAATCCACCTTCCTCGTTTTTTTTTTCGTTTTTTTTAATCATTTCACCCCAAGCAAGGTGATAACATCACTAAGACACAAAGGATTACTGGAAGTGAAAGAGAAGGAAAAGACTTTAAAAGGAACCAGAAACCCAATCCTAAACAGGAAACAAGGGATAAACCTCCTTTCCTGTTCAAAAGGCTAAGGAAGAGTATGTGAACTAGACAATAGGAAAACTTATCTAGTAATATTAAATTTGCATTTAATAATAATGAATGAAAGAATTACACTACATACAAGCACTAGTAGTCTCACAAATATGACAATTTCGTATATATAAGATCTGGGAGATACATTTTCAGATATTTGGGGTTCTTACATAGCCTCAATTAATATAAAAGTTTTGGAAACAAATAACTGTTTGAAAATTGAACTTACGAATATTCAGATCATTCCAGTACTGCTCCATATGTTCACCCATGGCCTTCATCAAGTAGCGGAATTCTTTGGCATCAGCAAAATCTTGTTTGTTGTGTGTTGGTTCCAACACCAAATATGGGACATCAACAATACCTGAGATGAAAAAGGTTAGCAACATTCAGTCAATTTATCAGAAATAAATAAAAAAACAGTAATAAAGTGCAATTTCTGAAGCTATAAAGATTTAATTAAATTAAAAGAAATTAAAGATATGTTAATAAATTATATTAAATACTACATTCCGAAATTTTAAAATATATAAATATATTTATCAAAGCCTACTTTCATTAGGTTGTACAGGGTGGGATGAATAAATTGTTGTCTAAATTACACATAAATGAAAATAACACTGACATCTCGTTTTAACAGATATAGAGGGTGCGATGGATAAATTGTCGCCTAAATTACACATAAATGAAAATAGCACATCTCGTTTTAACTGATATAGAGGGTGCGATAGATAAATTGTCATCTAAATTACACATAAATGAAAATAATTCTGACATCTCATTTTAACAGATATAGAGAGTGCGATGGATAAATTGTCTTAATTACACATAAATGAAAATAACACATCTCATTTTAACAGATTTAGTGAGTGCAATGGATAAATTGTCGTCTAAATAACACATAAATGAAAATAAGACTGATATCTCAATTTAACAGATTGATTTACCCAAATTACACAAAAATATCTTGAAATACTAAAGAGTAAATTTATTCAATAAAATCATTATTGGCTTCAACCACAGCCTCTAGATGATTTCAGAATCTCCTGCAACTCTTCTAGACGTTCTCCTTGTCTAACTTGGTGAATGCTAACATAATCTTTGTCTTCAGTTCATCTTTGGTGCTACAAGGAGTTTTGCTGGTTTCTTGCTCAGCTATGTCCCACAAATAATAATCAAGGGGGTGCAGTCTGAGGAGGTAAATGGCCAGATGTAAGGAGTGACGTGGTCGCAGAAATTGTCTGACAGCTATGACTGAGTTCTCTTACTTGTGTGGCATGGTGCCATGTCCTGTTGCGAGACATAGGGTCTAGCAGCAGTCACCCTCTTGACCCAGGGCAGTATTGCTTCCTCAAGGCACTTGATGTAGGCCTCAGTGTTCAGTCTGAGGTCTTCACCAACAAATTCAAAAATTACCATACCTTCTTAATCACCATTTCACTTATCCAACTCTTTGTGCATCCTCTGCACTGTCCTCAAGTTGACACCCAAACACTGAAATATTTGTATCGGAGATTCCGACATGAATGCCAAGCAGTACAGCATGCCATATCCAAATTTATGGCAGAGTGAATTGCGTCACGATGCTCTTTTTCTCACAGATGGTGCCCAACTGACCCTACTGTACTGTGCAGTCAACAAAATCAAAAACAAAATTTAAAAACAAAAATTAAAAATATAAAATGTTGACAATTTACCCATAGCACTCTGTATCTATATCTATAATTCTCAAAATGTGTGTGCTCGGATTTTGTTTATGCATTTCCACAGTTTTCATTCAATTTTGATGAATTTTTATTTTTGTTTAATAGATAATTCTTCAGTGCCGGTTTTGAGTCCAAATTGTTGGCTACAATGGCTCTCCACTACTGCCTGTCTATTATAACTCTCAGCAACGTTTTACTATTTACTATCTGTTTTTGGAGATATATCTTTCATAAAAACTATTGTAATAATTTAAATTATTTATTTTTATTATTATACAGTTCCCTTTTCCTCTCATTCAAACTGTTAATATATATATATCATATATACATATATATAATATATATATATATATATATTTATATATGAGAAGCCAGAATGTTTACTCCAAGAAGTTATCCAACTGAGGGAATTTAGGTGATAATATTGGATGGATTTGTGTGTCCTGTAAAATGCAAAAACAATCGTGTGTTGATTATAGACACAGAAGCATTTTGTTTGAGAGATCAATGTATTTATTGGGTACAATGACCTGGAGGAAAGTGTGTCCAGTTCGAAAAGTGTCTTTGGACTTTAACAGAAGAAAAAAATAAGAAATGAAAATCTCTTTAAACCATGAGAAAAATGAAGCCAGCAAAACAAAGTCAGTGACTTCATTTTGGATGCAGGATTAATTGCGAATTTTTGATAACTAGAATTTTTTTGCAACACACTGATGCATGTTGAAATCCTTACAGTATTTAGTATTTTTGAGGTTATCACTTCCTCTGCCCATTTGAAACTCTCCCTACTAGACTTATATTTACAACCATGCATTATATTTTACCAAAAGGAAACACACACACATTATATATATATATATATATATATATATATAACTTAAAGAAAAGATATGTAAAAAACAATACTGCATTTTTATTTAATAAGTATTTATTTTAATCATTAATTTGTTTTAAAAATAGTGGGAGTATTTTGTATGTTAAATAATAAAATTTTTAATAAGGCCTTTGATCAGGAGGTTTTGAGGAGCATGGAACCACCACTTAATTGCTGGTGTTCCCAGGCCCACCCTGACCCAGGGTGGTAGCATCTGTTAGGGTCCCAGCTATGGGCAAATAGTTAACCCCCCAAACTGGGGTCAAAACACTATGAAAGTGTAAAAATAGGTTTTATACAAGCAATACATTTTTGAAAAAAATTATTGCCAGAAATACATTATTGAAAAAGAAAAAATATTACCAGCAATACATTGTTGGGTAAAAAAAATTGTCAGCAATAAAAATCTTGTCAGCATTAAATAACCCACTGAGGCTGATATGCCGTAAAACAAAACAAACTTCTAATTATTCCAGAAAAAATTAATGAAAATTTCTTGTACTAAGCTACACACTCTAGCACAACCAACTGTACTTTGTACCCTCTTATCTGTTTGCACTTCTCCCCCGGATTTGGTTTTGATTGGTCAATGTATGGTTATTCTAGAGGGTGTGAAGGACGGACAGATTAATGGAGCCACAGAATTTTATATAAAGATTTTAGCCAAAAAGAAAGTATTTTGCATTAAATGATAGTAACTGGAAAAGGGATCTAACTCTATTATAAATAGATGGAGTTATGTCCCCTACTTTTTAATTTTTTTTTTTTGATAGGATAAATTTCAAATTATTCCATGATTCTAACCACTACCTCTGAAAATGACCAATATCAGAAAATCAGTCATTTTAAAATAGTCTACAATAGGAAAATAATATTTTGGTACAATATCCCAATGGATCTATGACCAAATTTCAATGGTAAAATACCAGCTGTCATTGTGGTATATTTTTTTTTGATCAAGGTTGGATACCATGATTTTGTAACTGTTTCAGTATTGAATTGTCTTGAATAATTTAGAAATTAAAATCTGAAAAAAGCAGAGCTTTCAAATTTTGGCAGAAACAGCATCTATTTGGATATGGCATTGACATGAGTAAATCTGGGAGTTTTGTCAAATATTGCTGGCTAATAGTAATGATGTTGCAGCTTGTCAACCATTGCAGTTTAGTCACAGCAAAACTGAACAGATTTCCGTTTATAGCAACCCACAAAACAAAATATGCAGCCATTGAGATACTACCAAAAATAGAATTCACCATTTTTGTTATCCACTATTTTTCTTTTTGATTTATTTTCTGTTAACTGAAATCTATGACAATTATTCAATTTTATTGACATTTTTATCAATGAAAAGTCAAATAAAAACTTACCAACAATGCCACTGCAACATCTGTAGAGGAAAAAAAAAAAAAGAAAAATCTTTCATGAAAAATAATTACTTAAAAAGCCTTTTCACACTATTTACATTGTTCATATTGTTGTCCTAGTCACAATGTTTTGACCGTTATATGCTCCAGCCTTCTTTAGGTGATTTGAATTTCAAACTGAACCCTTTATTATGTCCACCTGGGTAGGTTGTTCTCAAGGACACATGGTCCAATGGATAAAAGCATTGGTTGAATCCAGTGACTTGATCCAAAGAGTTGCAAGTTCAATACCTGGCTACAGCTGAGTTGAACAAAAACTTGGAGAGTTGAGTTAAAGGGAGATAACTGATACTGAGACATCCGGAAGAGGCATGGCACATGGAACTAGAACAATTTAACCCAGTGGACATAATAAAGGGTTCAACTTGAAATTCCAATCACCTGAAGAAGGCTGAAACATTGTGAATATGGTAACAAAGATGAGGGCAACAGTCTGAACAATGTAAATAGTGTAAATAATTACAATACCTCATCTCAGAAATATAGACAGATCCCGAAGAAGGCAGGAGCGTACAAGGGCCGAAACATCATGAATATGGCAATAAAGATAAGGACAACAATCTGAACAATGTAAGTAGTGTAAATAATTACAATACCTCATCTCAGAAATACAGACAAACCCTTTCCAGTGTAAGAACGTTTTATTGTTAGAAAACAAAAAAAGATTATTATATTAGCAGAATAGGAACAAAAATATATTCCATCTGTCTCAAGAGAAAGATTACATAAAGTTGAACATTTTATCTATAAATAAAATAAAGAAAACAATAATATGAATTATCGTTTTAAGAGAAAAAATAAAACTGATAAGAAATGAAAATAATTGGCACAGAATTTTACTTTTCGTGGTTAAAAAAAAAAAAATTTTCCAACTTTTCATATCTAAGGCCATCATTACTTTGACTGCAGCTACCAATTCTCACACCTGTAATCAACATTGGTGGCGTGCCCAATCGTGACAGATTCCAAATTGTTAGTTTATCTAGTTTGCTGTGTTTCAATGGATTTGTGGTATGACAAAGGATTCTTCAACTTCCTGTTTTTTACTTTATTCTGAGTGTTAACCTTATCTTCATTGCCATATTCACAATGTTTCCTCAAGTACACATGGCCCAGTGGATTTAGACACTGGTTAGATCTAGTGACTAGACCCGAAAATTTGTGAGTTTAATACCAGATCACAGCATTGGTAAACCAAAACTTGGAGAATTGAGTTAAAGGGAAATAACTGAGACATCAGGAAGAGCCATGGCACGTGGAACTAGAACAATCTACCGCAGTGGATGAAATAAAGGGTTCGGTTTGAAATTTCAATTACCTGAAGAGGGCCAGAGCGTACAACAGCCAATATCTTGTGAATATGACAATGAAGATGAGGATAACAGCTCAAATAATGTAAATAATGCAAGTAATCATAATACCTCATGTCAGAGATATAGACAGATATTCCTGCTTTTTGTTGACCAAAATGCAATATCTTTAAGCCCCAAAAATTTTAAAAGGCATCTTCTTTGACTTTATAAAAACTAACAGGATTAATGACAATTAATTAAGAATAATACTGACCCAATTGAACAACAATAATAATACTGCTTTTGAAATTTAAAATTGAAATTTAAAACAATTGGAAAAAAAATACTTACACTCCTCCTTCCAGTTGGGGACCGACTTTTTCATACATTCTAATCAACCGACTGCAATTGTAGACAAAAATTCCATCTTGATTCCGTCTTTCAATATTTACTCCATAAATAAAATTCAGTGTTTTAGGCTCCTTAAGAGCTCTGCAAAGAAAAACAAAAATTTTTTTTTTCAGCTTGTTCACCATTAAATCAAAATACTGTGCCCTTGCCCTGCCTCCAAAACTTTATAATTACACTGTCATCAATAAAATAATAAAACAAATACACTTATCTAATAACTTTTAAGTAAAAAAAACATTTTAAAATAAACTAATAAATATACTAATAAAAAATAGTTGCTCTTTCAAAATTATGTCAGAGAGAGAATTTTAATGTTACGGCTATATCATATCCTCATCCGATCACCAAAGTTAAGCAACATCGAGCCTGGTCAGTATTCTGATGTGAGTGACTGCTGAAGAATACCAGGTACTGTATAAGCTATGCAACAGGCCTCGCAAGCTGGCAAAGGATACAATCTCTCTGCCTACACTAACAGAAGATTCCATATGTGGATGTTCTTCTGGACTGAGAGGTCACAAGATCTATCTGGAGCTGGGTGTTTAAAAAAAGAGAATTTTAAACCTTTAATTTGAAATCCTGAAAAGAAGGACAACCAGATGCATAGATGCTTTTGTTTTAGCATTTCGAGGGGGGGGCATTTATTTTCATACGCCAGATAAAATTCATTTACTATAGCTGGCTGAAAAGTGATGTACGTGCAGTGTGCATGAGGGTGCAGTATAGAGAAATGCACGTACAAGTGTTGTGAAAAAAACAATCAGAATATCTGCTTGTCTGTCTGTCTATGAAGGGTTAGTTCTCAAGAGGTCTGTGACTCAATAAGAACCACTCATTTAAAACCTTTAGGAGACTGCATTTTCTCTAATTGTTTCACCTGCCATTACATTTGTTTTGAGGGAGCAAAAAGCTTGAGTATCTATTTTTTTTAAATTGTTATAACTTTCTTTGTATTGTGTGTATAGACATGATTTTTGTATACTAATAAAACCATGGAGGAGTAATATTTTGATGTGATGCATGATGTTCTGTATACATATTTTGACATTGAAAAAAAAAAAAAAAATCTAAAATGCACAAAACATACTTTTATCACTATCCATGCAGTTCTCAGGTGCAGTCTAACTTGTAATCCATCAGACCGTGTCTGAAGCCTGGTATCTCAATAAAATCATCCACAGACAAGTTAGAAATCAAATAATGACCGTTTAGTAAGCCTAATCAGAGGCACGGTGGGGTAATGGAGTTCAAATTCCAGTCAAATCCATTACATTTACTTACATGCTAATACCATTGGGAAAGCTATGAATCCTCTTCTTCCTCCAGGTATGGATAAATAGCAGGACAGACCAGGTTCTATAGCCTTGGATAGCAACTGGTCTACTGCAGAAAGAAATGGCAACCTACTGCAAGAAAAAAATCTGCCTTGTCAGTCATGTATCAAAAGATACATGATCACCTAAGCGTGCATCATGCATGGCACATAACTGACTGAATCAAAAGCAACATTGCTACAAATGTCTTCATTTCATTGAAAGTGACGTACTTCCAGATGTTGATGTATGAGTAGATAATAGCATTTGCTCATTTCCTTTCCTTCACCATAATATATATATATTTGTCTCATTAACAAATAAAGTGATTATTTTGTCATTCATAAAGAAACAAAAGAGTTGCCCCCTCAAAAATGCCATCAGGGACCACCTTAAGGCCTGAACTTTCCTTAAAATCAGTCAGCCATGGATGATATTATCTGCTTGGTACATCAATCTAACCATCACTATCACCACTGTCACTGTCTTCATCACCACCTTCAACCACTTCGCCATCAATATCTGCACAAGTAAATCCCTCAAAATCATCTTCCAAGTCTGAATCAAAGATGATTTCTTCAAGAGATGTTTCAGCTAATGCACCTTTTTTTTTTTCTTTTTTATCCAATAGGCTGTATTTTAGCAGACATCATATTTTACAAGAAGGGCAAGATTAGCAGTGCTTACAAAATCAAATTAGTAGAGATCTAGAAAAATTACTAATCAAGAATTTTCAAAGATTCCACTCATGAAAGAATGGACTCACCTGAGTTTACGTTCAGCAATTTGTTGACGAATCTGGGCTTCTTTTCGACACTCAAGAGCAAAATTTTGTGCCTTTCTCAGCTCCATCTGGTAGAATAAGAATTTTCAGCAAAAATCAAATGAGAATATCTGGTTCTGTAGAAGATTTCTAATGCAATAATATAAATGGAAAAAAGAATCGAGCCTGTATTCTTATACTGAAGCTGTCATTTGATCTGACATGCTACACTGAAGCGTCTGGTCAGCAAATGTTTTCAAACATTCAGGCTGATAAATGTAATTAATATTGTTTAATTAAAAACAGAGCATTTCTTAAATAAATTGTATCTATAAAAATAATGTATAAACAGAAAATATATTAAATAATTATCATACTTAATCCATTTCATTATACACACACAGACACATATATATATGTAGAGATGGAGAGTTAGCAATCAAATGCAGATCAAATATGGATTGGAAACTGACAGGAAGGGACAAATACAAATACATTTATAAATTTAATGTTTCACTTTTATTTAAGCTTCACCAGAACATGCTTATCAAAAACGAAGAATGCTTGACAATGCTTCACTTAATAAAAATTACTACTAATAATACTACTAGTAGAAGTGATGAAATTGAACTGAAGATGAAATAAATACTAATCAAAAATTAATAATGGTCAATAATCTAATAAAATTTCAAATAATATAAGATTATAAAACAAATTTTAAAAACTTACACGTAAATCTTTGTTGAATGAAGAACTGCATTTGTTTTCCAAATTTCTGAAAAAATGAAGAAAGTATTTTAGAATTTATAATATGAAGAGTAAGCGAAAGAAAGAAAGGATTGACAGATTTGTTTTTTGTTTTTTTTTAAGCATTTCACCCCAAGCAGGGTGAGAAGCCACTAGGACGCAAGGGGGTACAGAAAATTTGGAGAAAGATCAGATAGGAGTGACAGAAGAAAGGATGAGGAGAAGAGTAGTGGATAGATCAAGGCAACTGGAGATGTCGATTGACATTACATTTGAATAGCTGGAGATTATAGCTGTCAGGGAAACTGGAATAGGGAAGGAAGTTTCACAGGCGAGAGGTGCGAGACATGAAGTTATTGGAGTAGAAGAGACGGCTACATTTAGGAGTTTCGACAGTGAAAGAGTGAGAGTGGAATGCCAGCCTCGTAGGGCGCTTGAACTCATGACGTCTGGGAACCAGCGAATGCAGCTCCTCGGAGCAATTACCATGAAAGTATTTGTAAAACAGACAGAGAGTGGCGACGGCGTGTCTGTGAGAAAGTGACTGTAGACGAGATGCCAGAGCAGGGCCAATTATAATGCATATTCCCCTCTGGAGTCTATCAAGAACCCCCAGGCAAACAGAAGGGGCTCCAGACCATATATGGCAGCAATACTCCATGCAAGGGCGAATTGTTGATTTTTAGACATGGAGGATCGATTCTGATGGCTTATCAACCCTCTGCAGGTTATTTAAAGCTGAAACCTATTTTTAAATTGTAAGTATAATTATTTGGGGGGGAAATGAATAATGTATTAATAATTTTTTTAGATATTAATGATTTCAGATACAAGTTCTACTATTTAACCGATAGCTTGAGGGAAAGAGTTGGAATAATACATTTCTTAAGGGTATTTGTGTATATGCGATTGTAATGAACCCAACTATAAATCAAATTCCAGTTTCTCATGTCCAGTGGTATGCAAATGAAGCCATTATCTATTACACTACTCGCAGATCCAAGCTTATAGCACCTGGTAATACCAGGTGATCACCCATCCAGGTACTGACTATGCTCAACATTGCTTAACCAATGATCAAACAAGATCCAGTGTTTCAATGTGATATGGCTGTAAGCCAGAAAGACTGGAAAAGAAAATTTTTTTAAAAATGAGGAGTGGATGGGAACAGGAATAAAAGAAAGGGGTGAGGGGGATTTTTAATTTGTCTTTCAAATTTTGTTTGAAATGGCCAAATTCTTTGCCAAAAGAATTCTTACTTGGCTTTGCTTTCTGCTTCTCGTGCTTTGTCAGCAGCCATTTTCGCTTCTTCATCTGCTCGATTGGCTTCTTGTTCTGAACGCGTTCGGAATCGATTCGAAGAATACTTATACATGCGTTGCTTGTAGAGGCAGCAGGCCAAACGTTTCGTTCGTACTTTCTTGTTCTGAATGTAGATCTTCATGCGAGGGTCCATGTAAAGAACAGCAGTATAAGCACGAAAGGATTTACGCTCAGGCATTAGGCTGAATACAAAAAAAAAAAAAATTCATTCAGTAATACAAATTTGCTGATAATCAAATGAAATAGTAATCTAACAACACGCCTTACTATATATATATATATATATATATATATATATATATATATATATATAAATAAGCAGTCTATCTTCATGTAAGCATATTTGGTTGAATAATCTGGACATATTACACCTATTTATTTTTATTTTAATCCTCTTGAATTCTTGGATCAACTTCTTAATATTGATATTAAATTCATTAAGGAAGGCACTATAGTTTTTTTTCATTTCTTTTATTTTCCCAAGTATTACTCCATTATAATTGACAATACAAGCATACTCCACCATGAAAATAAAAACTTCAAACTCTTTAAGCCCTCTATATAACAAAAATACAACCAACACTAAATAAGGTTACTTATGAGTATATCAACATTTTAAAATGCCTACAATAGTAATGTTTTTAAAATAGTTAAATTGTAATTATAATAAAATTACAATTATATAAATTAAAGTTACCTCCCTTAGATAAAACTTACAAAAAAAAACACAATAGCTTTAACAGTTAATTTTTAAATTAAATTTAACATAGTACGTTCATGTGTGTTTATAATTATAACAAAGCACATTTCAAGCGCATTTACAAAAAATTCACAACTATCAATTACATTCATTTTTTTTGTCTTAGCACCACTGAAGATGATCTTGGATGAGGCTGAAAGGACTTGGGTAAATTAAAAAAATGAAAAAACTATGGTGCCTTCCTTAATGAGTGTAATATCAGCATTAAGTTGATCCAAGAATTTGAGAGGATTAAAATAAAAATAAATAGGTATAATATATATATATATATATATATATATATATATATATATATATATATATAAAAATGGCTGACAATGCTTCATATCATGAAAAATAAAGTTGAAAGTAAATCAGTAAGTTAAGTGCCATACGTGATACACACTTGGGCAATCAAGTCTCTCTCAATTCATGACTGACTAGGCAGAGATTTTCCCGCAGTAAGTTGCTATTTCTTTCTATGGCAGACTGGTTGCCAACCAAGGCCATAGAACCCAGTCTGTCCTGCTATCCAACCCAGAGGAATAGAAGAGATAAATTCATACCTTTCCCACGGGTATTTGTGGGTAACAAACCTGACTGGAATTCGAACTCAGCTCTCTAATTTTTCATTCTGAACTGATATCCATTACACCACCCACTCATCCATAAAGTAAAATACTAGTTAAAATGAATAATAATGGCTGATAATATTTGATCTAATAAGAAAAAAAAATCAAACTAAAAATAATACTACTGTAACTTTATTTTTTAATCCATGATCTCTTGGGTAAAACATCTTGTTTCTCTTGACAACATCTACAACCTAACACTTCACGCGAAATGATTCTTAAAATTATAAAAGATTAGGGAACCAGTTGTTGGATTATCCGAAAATAATCTTATATATTAATAGCCGATGGTCTAGATAAAATGCACGTTTCTAGTGAAACTCTAATAGACAGACACTCCCTACCATTTTGAAGTTAAAAATATTGCAAATCTTCTAGTTATAAATTTGATAGGTCTTCCATTGGATTTTTGGGATTGCAGCAATTCAGTTCGAATGTAGCTAAGAAACCATAACAAGGCTGATGGCACTAGAGTTAAAAAGCATCATACTTCTGAACAGAATTTCAATCTGGAAATATCTTAATAAATAAATGTTTTCTATTAAATTATCAAAATGGTTTAATTCTTTTTGATACTATAGAGTGATTTATTTTCATTCTTAAATTGAAAAGAAAATAAGCAGAATAGGTTCCTAAAGATTACCTGTCTTTATAGAACCGGTTACTGGAAATTTAGGATATCACCACTGTCTACAATCTTGTGAAACTTCTTTGACTAAACAAATAAAAATATAAATGAAAAGATAAACATCACTTACCCTTCATCTGAATCAAATTCTCCAGAGGTTGGGTTGTTCAATATAATATCTGTGGGGTCAGAAATAATATCTAGTTCAGGTTCCCCACTGTCTAGTAACTTCAGATTATAAATGATGACCAATGTGCCAGTCTGGGAGTTGATCTTGTCAAACTGAGCAAAAAAATCTTCTTGATTTTTGAATGGTGAATATTTGAGTATCAAACTCATTTCCAGATCATGCTGAAAAAAAAAAAAAAAAACAAACAAAATGATTAAAAATTAATTCTGACTCAAAGAAAATACAAGTCAGAAAGTAGATTGTTTAGCATTGTTGTATTCTGTTAAAACTCCAATTCTTTAACTCTAAACAGAAGTGCTGACTTCAACATCCACAGCTGATATGACAAAAACAGACCTTAATTTCATCCAGTTCTGAACACCTATTTCTGGAATCAATCAGTTATGTGCCATGCATGATACACGTGTAGGCATTCATACATCTTTCAATACATGACTAACGAGGCAGATTTTTTTTCCCCCGAAGTAGGTTGCCATTTCTTTCTGCGATAAAACAATTTTTTATCTGATCCAATCAAATTTTTTATCTCTACAAAATGAAAACATTTGATTGGCCCAGAATTATATCACCTGGTCCAATTAATTTTTTTATCTCTACAAAACAAAATGAAAGATTTTGATTGGCCCAGAATTATACCATCTAAGTAGGATCTAATTGCTTTGCTTACGTTTATAATTGTTGCACAAAGTAAAAGCTTAGTATCATCACACTGCAGACAAAAATGAACATAATTTGAATGGAAAAGAAAAACAAGACATTTTTTTTCAAAATCTGCTAACCTTTTTCTAATCAAATACATCAAAGACATGTTTAGGCTTACCTTTTCCAATGCTCTAACATTTTTTGCAAGAGGACCTTTTGTGGCTGTATCAAAAGATGGAATAGGTACCACAACCTGTAAGATAAAAACATTTCATATATCAACAACTAAATTCTTAAAATAAAAGCTAATATCTGGTCATTATCCATCATCATCAAAGTCTTTTATTATTAATATAAAGCAGAAAGAGAGTTCAGCCAAGAAGCAAGCCTTGGAAGACACCTGCATTGATCTCATGGACATCAGGTGACTGGCCATTAACAACTTCATAATTAAAAAGCTGGAGAGTGTGTTGCAACCCCCTATGCCACACCTTGTCAAAGGCCTTCAATATGTGATCATCCTTGAGATGTATTTATTGTCTACGATCATCCTTGACATGTAATGATTATGATATTTCAGCTCCCAAATGATACCAGTGTCAACTGTTGCAGAATGCAGAGGCTGGGCCAGAATAGCAAACGACTGATCAAAATACCTTATGAGCATGGAATACTGACAATAATGGATTGCCTTTGTCTAAGTTTTGGATAAAAGATCAAAATGGTGTAAAATCAAGAATTTTGAAGCACTGACACACTTTTTAGTCCCAGATAGACAGGCTAAGGCCACACATGGCAGATTGCTTAGCCAACAAGAGCCCATGTGTCCTTCTGAAGTTTTTCCTCCCACTACGTCCTAGAATCAATGTGACATCTGTCCCTCATGTAGTAAAACAAATACAAAAAAGAGACCATCTTTCATTGATAGTCTATGAAATGGCATTGGGATCTGAAGGGCTACAACCAGTGACAATACGATACACAACACAATATCCAAAGAAATTTTGTTTAAAAATGTTGGTAGGTTCTTCTGCTGTATATATAAGCATATAGATAAGTAATCAGCAAAAGAGATAACACTGAGATTAATAAACCCCAAGTTGTGTGTCCAGACTGAATTAAATGTTTAAATAGACAATTCACACCAGACCATCAAAGAAGATAGATGCTCAGAGAGTTAACCTGGGATCAGTACCAACTGCCAAAGGAGGAAGCCCTTGGCTTCCCACCTGCATCAACTTTGCAGACATGAGAAAGATTTGTGAAACAGCCACCTCAGACATTAAAGAGCAGTCTCTCACACATTGCTAACAGAGAATGTAAGGTCCATATATTGAACAAAGATGCAGGAATCACACCACAAGCAGGTCAAGAGTAAATAAAATATTAGGGCAATTATGTTTTAAGTAATGAAGATTTAAGTCTTGTGTAATCATTTTGAGAATATCCCTATTTCATTACAAATAAAATAATCTTTTAAATTAAAAAAAAATAAGCAAACGATAAAAGTCAAATGCTTCTATTCATGTTAAATTCTTTACACAACATTCCCTATTCTAAATTCCTAAATATCTGAATAAAAAAAAGAAAAACAAAGAAGCCTCACCTCATCAATACCCTCTTCTTCATGAAATGTACGAGAAAGAAACAAACATGACATTGTGCTGCCTTTCTTAGTGAATATTATCATATCATTTCCAATTCGCATGGATCCCCTAAAAGAAAAGAAAAAAAACTCACAAATAAATTAGAAGATGAATAAAAGAAAATTTACATGGACATTTTTTTTTTCATTTCGGTTCTTTACTCTTGAGTTGAATATTTTAATTTTATTGTCTTTTTATGTCCAATCAATTCAATTGTATTTTGAAAAGTGGAAAGTAATTCATGATTTTAAAAAGACAATACGTACGATTTTAAACCATTGCCATACATTCCAATCAATTGGGAATCAGAAGATTTTTTGGAAGATTTCCCAAATGTAATTATATCAGCAGTTTCATCTGAAAAAGAGAAACAAAATCAGTTGGGGGAGGGTAAGATAAAGAGATAAGCAGGAAGGAGGGAGGGAGGAAAACGGACAAGAGTGGGGCTCAGAAAGAGAGAAGCAGGCAGGAAGGAGCTTGGAAAGAGAGAGAGAAATGAGCAGGAGAGGGCTCAGAGAGAGAGGGAAATGGGCAGGAGGGGGCTCGGAGAGGGAAACAGGCAGGAGGAGGCTCGGAGATGGAAACAGGCAGGAGGAGGCTCGGAGATGGAAACAGGCAGGAGGAGGCTTGGAGAGAAAGAGAAACATGCAGAAGGGGGTTCAAAGAGAGAAAAGGCAGGAGTGGTGGCTCGAAGAGAGAAACAAAGGCAGTGGCAGGTGGAGAGAAATATCTATATAAGCTGATATTAACTCCAACAAATTCCAATAGGCTGAAAGTTAAATCTGCACATGAGACTGAACTACCGATTGCATATCCAGAGCAGTAACAGCATGGCACCCCTGGGTAGAGGGCTTTCTAGACTGAAGTCAACACACAGGAGAGATGGAATCCACAGCATCCTGTATGTGATCGAGGCAAGCCTTCAAGTCAGAAGACAGTTTAACCTGGTGAGGGATAGGCTTCGCCAGGTCTACTTGCCCAAAGGCACGCTACGAATAAATGAATATGTCTCTAACTGAGCAGCTCATTCTACATGTCTCCACCTGACATGTAGAGTGAGCTGCCCAGACGCTTAATTGCACAGTGATCCCATAGCCACACCCAGACGGGTAACTGATGATATTTATTTATTTATATATTCTTTTTTTTTCTTTATGTCCCTCATTATAACTTAATAAGTATGTAGTAGTATAATGGATAATGTCTCAGAATGAGAAATTGGGGAGCCGAGTTCAAACTCCAGTCAGGTTTATTACATTCACTTACATGCAAATACCCTTGGGAAAGGTGTGAATCCATCTTCTCCCCACTCTCATGCTTACAGCCACATCACATTGAAACACTGGTTCTCAAATAATCACCAAAGTTAAGCAACACTGAGCCTGGTCAGTACCTAGATGGGTGACCATTTGGAAATACCTGGTAAGCTTGGGTGTGCAGAGGATGTAATGGATAATGGCTTGGAATTGTTAGTCAGAGAGCCAAGTTCCAATTCCCATTAGGTTCATTTACACACAAATACCTTTGGGGAAGGTATGAATCTACTGCTTCTCTCCCAGCTATGGGTTAATTAGTAACACTTGTATCACTAAACTATTATTATCTCCAAAACAAATTCTTACAATCTACAAATATTTTCTGGCTTTAAAGAAGATGTAAAAAAAACAAATCAACCAAATAAATTTTCTCCTCAGATATGGGTTGAATAGCAGTATAGTATGGCACTGACTGACAGACGGATTGGTAAACGGATTGTTGCATCAAATCAACAACAAATTCCTATCTAAAGTAAAATAAAAAGAAAACATTACTTTTTTTGTTCTTGTAGATAAAAAATATTATTTTACAATTTCCCAAATCCTGTTTTTTTCCTCCCACCATCCAGAATAGAGATTTGGTACTTTATGGGGATGGGGGGTAATTTCTGAAATTTTTATACATACTTGGATCCATGCCTTCACCATCGTCAAGGAAACACATCATGAATCCACCACGGAGATTCTCATCTTCCACTAGAAATTAAAAATAAAAATTAAAATAAAAACCAGAAATAAGAGTTTTGAAATTTCAACTCACTTATAAAATTTAATTTAAAAAAATAAAAGATGACAGGTTATTAATTATAATAAATAACAAAGAAATTATTAAATTCTGCTAACTGGCCACAAAAACCAGGAAATTTTCAATGAAAAAAAAATTAACATATAAAAAAAAAAATTAACTTTTTTTTTAGTTTGAACACGACAGTACTTCAAATAAAATGTGACGATGGAAATCCCCATTAATACTGGAAAGAGCAATAACAGCTACTGGACTTGAGAAATCTAATTTTCTGAAAAATTGTTTTAAGAGAAAGATTTTATAAATTCCAAGTGAAAGTAGTACTGGTTGGTCAGTCAATGAATGCCAAATGTTTCCTTGAATTGAAATGGCTGATATTACCACTACATTATTATTATTATTTTTTAACTGTAAGTAATGAAATTAAAAAAGAACAAAACTGAGTATATATATATATATATATATATATATATAAAAAGAAGCATGGTGGAGTAATGGATAGCGGGTCAGATTGAGGAATCGGAGACCCAAGGTCAAATTCCAGTGGAATCCATTACATTCACTTATGTGCTAATACCCTTGGGAAAGGTATGAATCCTCTTCTTCTCTCCCCCAAGCTATGGGTAAATAGTAGGACAGACTGGGTTCTATAGCCTTGGATGGCAACTGGTCTACTGCAGAAAGAAATGGTAACCTACTGCAGGAAAAAATCTGCTTTGTCAGTCATATATCGAAAGATACATGATCACCTAAGCATATATCACACATAGCACATAACTTATATATATATATTATGATTTTTGCTGTGTCTTTAAAACCCAGTAATTTTAAAAGTTACTCCAAAATTTGCTTGAGGATGAAATAGAACTAATGTCTTTAATTTAATTACAAAATTAAATTCAGAGCTTTCAGCTTCCATTTTTGAAACATGGTTAGAACTGTGTAGCGAAAAAAAACATTTTAAATCAATTAATTTATAATACTAATGCTCTGTAAATTTACATTGAGCACTATTTTGTAAAAATAAAAATATCTATAAGAACACCAGATTATATATCTTACTGTTCTTTCTTTTTATTTATATATATATATATATATATATATATAATTTCTATAAGCTCAACTTTAGATATCATGGTCCCATCAGTGTTATTTTTTAGACAAATTAAAAATGTACTTACGAGTGTAGATGTTCATCTTTGTAGCGGATGCATCTCTGCAATGAAAACCAAAACAAATAAAGGTATTAATCATAATAGTAACATTCTTATTTTCTATATCATACTGAAACATTTCCTGCTCAGGTATGATATAGTTATTGATTTTACAGATTTTTCCAAAATGACTTTCCTCTCTCAGCCATTGTCAGGATGACAGTAACAAAACAATGTACACTATTTACTTTCAGACCATTGTCCTCAACTTTCACTCATTGTGTCTTCTGACCTCCATCAGGTGTATATCAATCTTGGTAACCTACAGGGAATTTTGAATTGAACCCTTTATTTAATCTATGGGGATAGACTGTTCTCATTCCATGGCCTGTGACTATGAATATCTCGTCTAGTTCTTATTTTTAGTAATGCTCAGTTATTGCTCGCCCATTTCCACGGAGTCCAACTATACACTGCTCAACCCAAGGATTGAACTCACAAACCAACACGATAATAGCCTAGTGGATGCAACTGTAAGTTCTATGGTAACAGTTTCTTCTCTCACACTTCTTGCTTGTGGAACTCTCTTCCAGTTTCTTGCTCTCCAGTCAAGTTTGATCTCCAAAAAATTTAAATGCAATATCAATCATTTTCTTCAGTTTTCTTAATTCCTGTTTTTTATTGTTCTCTCTCCTTAATAATTTCTTTTTGTCATATCCTCTAACAATCAGTTACCCCTTGCATCTTAGTGGCTTTATTCTTTATTGCCTTGCTTGGGGTGAAATGATAAATTAAAAAAAAAGATATGTGGGCAGAATGATGGTTATCAGTGCAGAAATGGTGAATCAATTCAAGTTCCATTCTTGAGTTTTTGCATTCACATCACACTAATGCTCTTGGGAAAGGCAAAAATCCATTTCTACTCTCTTCAATATTGGTTTCTTTAGCCTTGGGTGGCACCAGTCTATGAAAAGGACAACTTTGAATTCAAAACCATGAAGACAATAGGAAACCACTCCACTATCTTTCTGAAGAACTCATGGCACTTCACAGGAATCATCTCTGTTGTAATAGGGCACATTGATTTTTCACTTTTTATACAAAAACAACATTGCATTCAGTGTGAAAGCTGGTGTTTGATATAAAAAAAAATTAGATTCATAACTTTTACTACTTTCTGAGCATTTAGTTTTAAACAACATCTGAAAAAATGTACAGAAATACCTAACTCCCAAACAACTGCTTACTGACTTCAGAATTTTACTATTTCAAGAATAAATCCAAATAAAGTTAATATCTTTTGTATTAGACACATTGAATGGAAAATATATTCAAACCAAAATTCTAATTATGAATCACCACAAGCAAAAGCTATTTTTTTTTACTGTATTTGTTAAGTAAAAACTGCAAAAAAAATTTAAGATTTCAAAAGATTACTCAATAATTAAGATTTGTTTAAGATTAATAAAAACTAAAAATAGATAAAAGTGTATTTTGTGATGTCAACGAACACTCGTTGCCACTTTTGTAATGCCAACGAATACTTGTTGTAGTAGAGACTTTGTAATCATAGATACCACTATAGTACGCCGTTGAACAGTACTAGTGTCACATGCCTTCGAATATCACTCGCACTAAGAGTACTTGCTCAATAATACTCACTCAAACCACCGTATAGTGATCTGAATAGAGAAATAGTATAGTGAATAGAGTAGAGAATAGCATTCCATATAGTAAAAGAGAATAGACTAGAAATAGTAATCATTTAGACGTCATGCAACCTCTTACTTATGCGTTTCCTCTATGGTCATGTGGTCTACTTAATTCAATAATGGGATTGCCTGTGTTTGCTCTATTTTCAAGCTCAAATGTTGGCAGTGACATTCCTATATAACAGTGTATATAACACCATAATACTGCTGGGCACAAATTATAAGACAAAATGTTTTAAATTTGTATTGTTTATTGAAAATCACACTAAAATTACAGTACTGTATAACATATTGCATTATAATATAGCTGAATTGTTCAGTATAATTTTCCTTTGAACTAAATGAAGGTCTTATTTGATGTCACAATGATTAAGTAATAATGTTCTTGTGTCATGCATCTTGTCCATATACAATTTTGTAAAGTTTCAGTAAATTATGAATTTTATAAGGCTGTGCTATAAGGTTTTCACTGATCACCAAAATGAAATTCCAACACTGCAATTTTGAACCGAAACTTATTCTTTAAACTTGTTTCCTCCAAAAAATGGTAACAATTTGGAAAAAACATTTTGTGTCGTTATTTATCATGTCAAACCCTAATTTTCAAAGAGAGTGCAATACCACAGTTCCAAAATCGACCTGCCTTATGGCATTAAAAAAAAATTTGTAATTGAAAGTAGAAAGCTTCCTTTAGGTATAATTGGTATAGATATTTAACCATCTGGACCTATACTATCAGCTAATTTAATCACCAAAAAGAACTACAAAGCCTAACCCTTAAGTAGAATACAACTGTTTCTATGAGCAACTTTGTACTGGCCATTTGCTGTTCTTCACTGCTGATTATTTTTTTCATAGTGAAAAATATTCCCATATTTTTTTTTTATTTTGTTCCCATAGTTGATGACCATATTAAATAGGCACAAAATAGTTAAACTATTAATCAGTCACATGCAGTTGATGTAATGTTTAGAGGTTTAGAATGAGAAATTGGCAAGCCGAGTTCAAATCCAAGTTGAGAAAAGTACATTCACTTTGATGCAAATACCCTCAGGACAGGTATGAATCCCTTTCTTCTCCCCATAACTATGGGTTAAATTATACAGCAGACTGGACACTCTTGGAAATGCCATCTGACCATCCACCAAATCTTAGGCAGTCTTCCTCATGTTTCCTCTCTCATACAAGCACAGTTTGTTGGCCACAGCCACCATACCGAGAATGAGGTTCTCTTCTCTCTCCTACACTGGAAGCCTGTGTCAAACCTGACCAGGGGCAGAATACTATCATTCCCTGACGTCATCTCAAGGGATGCAGGCATTGATAGGCAGGACTTGGGGAGAGCAATGAAGGACTGGCAAGTCTGGTGTAGTGTTTTGGACTCCATGATCTCGACTGTGGTCAACACATGATGATGATGGACACTCTTACTTGACAATGAGTGTAAGAGAACAACAACTGTATGTAGCCCTGATGGAGAACATATTTGAATTGTAACTAAGGTCTGCTTAGCATAGTTGAAGTATAAACCAACAGGTTGTTTCTGCATTTGAGCAGCCATGAAGAAGATGAGAAAATGCCCTCATCTGCAGTGTTCCTTCAAGACAAAACAGTCCTGATAATGATGTAGACATAAATAAATGATGATGAGGGGGGGGGGTCAAAAAGTGCAGTGTGACTCTTGCCGGCAGGCCAGCTATTTTTCTTCTTCTTCGGTCGCCTCAAGGAAATGGATTGCATGGCTCCCATTCTTGGCCGTTACACAGGGCAGTTGTGAAACAGACACCAACTCAGCTGCACCTACTTCAACTTACTCTTTGTCTGTCTGACAATCCATACATCCAACTTTAACACACGCAGTCCACAGAATGACTTTTTCTACCCGTGCTGCTGGCACCCAGCTTTTTATGCTATTCCAAAAATAGCCAAAATTTACATGTGTGCAAATATCGTCTTATCTTGGACAAGATAGGTGCGCATAAATTGTCTTCAATAGTGGCCATATTTCTTTTTAGTCATCTCTTTGCAGGCAAGACACATTCATGCTCATTTTGAATTCCGAGGTAAGTCATGTCTTTTGTGACAGATGACGAATCATCAGTCAAGATTCTGAAAACATCTCATATTGTAATTACTGAGACTAACGCAATTCGATTAATAATAAACACATGAATAAATTGCATATTTATCTAAGATTGTTTTGGTTTGTTTTATTTTACGGCATATCAACCTCAATGGGTTATTGAATGCCGACAAAATTTTTATTGCTGGTAATTTTTTTTCCTTCAAAAAATCTATTTCTGGGAATATTTTTTCTTCAAAAATGTATTGCTGGTAATAATTTTTTCTTCAATAACTTATTGCTGGTAATAATTTTTTTTACAAAGTATTTCTGATATTAAAACCTATTTTTACACTTTCATAGTGTTTTGACCTCAGTTTGTAAGTTAACTATTTGCCCAAAGCTGGGATCCTAACAGGTGCTACCACCCCAGGTCAGGGTGGACCTGGGAACACCAGCAATTAAGAGGTAGTTCCACACTCCTCAAAACCTCCTGATCAGAGGCCATGCTGCTGGATGTAGTTTATCATCTTACCCAGGACAGGGATGTACTTTATTATCATACCCAGGACAGGTTTATATAAGAATAAGAATATAAGAATAAATATGTAAGTTTTGTTTATGTCATGCAGCTAACATCCAAAATTTATTGTATGTGACTCTTACATTAAACAAGTGATGGCAATTAAACAAGTGGTGGCAAACCCCAACGGCCAAAATGATTCAGTGTTGCATGCTATTTTTGCAGAAGAAAGAAAAATGACCACTGAATGGGGTCTGTGCACTGATGCAGATACGCTTCTGTTAATCTATCATGGTTCAAGTGTCACTGAGTCAAATGGATTTTATAGAAAAATAGGCTAATCCATGATCCACCAATAACAATTCGTAAAAGGTCCAACAAACTGCTATAAAAGCTACTCACATTCCTGCCAAGGGCCATCTTTCAGAGAGAGAGAGTGTGTGTGTGTGTGTGTGTGTGTGTGTGTGTGTGTGTGTGTGTGTGTGTGTGTACATGGAAATTTGAACTGTGAACTTTTATTATACAAAAAGTTTAGTCATTCCTAATTTAATTAATCATGAAAATTTAGCAAAATAGATAGATAAAAATTGAATTATCTCCCATGAAAATCAGATTTATCTCCCTTTGCATTGCCTTTAATGATAATCTTTTTCTGTAGAGCAGCAGGATGAGGAGGATATTTAGTTTACCAGATTTACTTACAACATATGTACAGGGTGGACACTTTCCTGAAGTGTAATGGTTGGCAAGATTGTCTTGCTAAATCAATTATGACAAAGTTGGGAATGTGATCCTCACTTGTTGCTCTAAATTTTCAGCCTTGTGCCACATCTAAGCTATGCTATGTAAATCACTATTTACAGGGTGGAGCAAACATATTCTTTTATTAACTTTTATTGAACAAAAATAAGTTACAGTAGATTAAGAATATTTATAAGTGTAGTCTGATCAAAACAACATGATCTGTTATGATTAACAAGCTATTTACCACGATCAAAATGCTACTCTTCATGTTCAAGACATTGATGAACATTATCAGCAACACTTCTAAAAACCATTGACACATTTCTACGTTAATTTCAGAAAAATTTATGTTGCTGGTTTTAATTCAGGAAATGTTTTTGTTTTGAGCCTGTAATCAAGATCTTTCAGTCCCCATCCCACAAGAACATGTCTGTTCGTGTTATGTCTTGTTGGTGACTGTGATGGCCACCCACTTGCTCCATGAAGTATAAGCAACCAATTGCTGATACCCACTGGTAAGTCTGTCTACAAAACTCTGGAGTTGGAATGCTGAAGGTAACATCAATCAGCTAAATGAAAACCCTTTTACCTGTATTAATTTATTATATATATATATATAGCATAATGAGAAGCCACATATACTTTCTTAATATGTATATATAGAAAAAGTTTCAAATTAAAAATTATAATGTTTTATTTTTGAAAGTATTTATTTATTTATATATATATTTGATGTTTCAAATTGTCCTCAATTTTCTCAGAAATAACTGTTTGTTACAAATAAATTAAAATTAATTTTAATTTATTTGTAAAAAACAGTTATTTGATGAAAATTGAGGACAATTTGAAACATCAAATATATATATATAAATAAATAAATACTTTCAAAAATAAAACATTATAATTTTTAATTTGAAACTTTTTTATATATATATATATATATATATATATATATATATATATATATATATATATAGAGAGAGAGAGAGAGAGAGAGGAGGCACGGTGGAGTAATGGATAGCGGCTTGGATTGAGGAATCGAGAGCCAGTTCAATTCCCTGTCGAATCCATTGCATTCACTTACGTGCTAATACCCTTGGGAAAGGTATGAATCCTTTCCTCTCCATCCAGCTATGGGTAAAATAGCAGGACAGACTGGGTTCTATAGCCTTGGATGGCAACTGGTCTAGGAGAAGCACAACTCTGAATTCAAAACCTGCAGAGGGTCATTTGGGAACCTTGTGGCATTCGGTGCACCAGGTCTCTGTATTTGTCCCTTCAAAAGTGTGGATGGTCCTGCACAAGGCCTTCACCACTATAATCAAATCTCATGTGCCGGTGTTGGGCTGTTGGTTTCCTGAAACTGATCTGCTTGACCCTCATAAGTCGAATCTCGACGGGAGAGTTGATTATATATATATATATATATATATATATATATATATATATATAATATTATATTTATATGCATATATATATAATTATATATCTAATGTAATAACCCTGCCTGTTGCAGTTCTGTCCTGTCTCCCCGGTGATTCTGGCCGAAAAAGAAATCCACCCGATCTTCCTCCGGTGAACTGAAGGAACCACCACTATTCGCCATGTTGTGAATTCTTGATCCGAACAGCAATGTATCGATCTCCCCAGAATGATCTGGTGGGAAGGGGAGGAAATGACTGGGTATTTCGCTGAAAGGAAATCACTATTCATGCAACAAAAGTTTCTTGTCATAGCCGCAAACACATGAAAAAGAAAAAAAATAAACAACTCCTGTTCCTGTACAAAGAGCCCTAGTCAGGCCACTGTTTTTTATGTCTCTACCGAAGAATTTACACGAGTACAAAATGTCGTAACGGGATTCACTCATTTGGGTCGGAAAGTCACAGAGAGAGAGAGAGTAGGAAAATTTCTGCCTAAACAATTTCGACTGATCTAAGGGAAGTAATTCGTGGATCTTCGTCTGCACCCTATGATATAGCAGTCTGCTTTCTTGCAGCCTTGTTGACGAAGTTATCTGGATTCGTACGGGTTCTATTTCGATCTCTTGGTTCGGATCGGTCTTCTTGATACAGGGCAACCAACAGACCAGACCAGCAAATTCCAACAAGCCACCTCTTCCACGTTCTGATCTCTGAACTCCGAACTCATCTGACTAACTCAAGCGTGCGGGCAGCTTATATAGAGAGAGGTGGAGCTAAACCATCTTTAGAGAACCACCCCCAAATGTTAACATGCAAATCGCCTGGACCACCATGTGTTTCTTTCCGCCTAATCTCTGGATCTCCACGGGCAACCAGTTTTCAAGAGGTACTAAAATCGGATTCAGGCCTCCTGCTGGATCTGCCGCAGACAACGTATACTTAAATTTTGCCAAAACCACTTATCCCGTCTGGTTGAATTCCGCTATTCAGACCACCCAAAAATCCAATTTGCCATTTATCACAAACTTTACTTTAACAAATCCGTCTCTTAATCACTTTGGAATTATTACATGTAATTAACTAAATAACTCAACCCCAGAAACAATTATCAAGAGAAAAAAAAAACAAACTTATTTCTGGAATTATTTGGAATCCCTTCTACCCAAGTAATTAGCACCTTCATCCTAATTCTTTAGCACTGTTGATTACTAAATCCACCTCGGGATGGGGAGGAGGGGGTCTCTCTCTCTCTATGTCACAATATATATATATATATATATATATGCATATGTATATGAATATAATTATATATATATATATATTATATTTATATGCACACACACACATATATATATATATATATATATATATATATATTATTATTTATATGCATATATAAGAACAATATAAGTGGAAACAGCTTGTGGGCATATGTAGTTGCACTGATGTAACAAATTTAGTCTGAATTCCTAAAGCACAGAATTCATCACAAAAACATTTTCTATTTTTCATATCTATATAATGAATGCAAATGTCAGTGTGTCACACTTTTTCAATTAAAGGGATACAACTCTCAAACTTTCAATAGCTCATGTTATAGAAATTGTGGATTGACATTTTTTCATTACTGCGATTGTTTTTGGTGACTTTTGTGACAAATTCTTTTGTACAATAATTGCAAAATCCAGTGAAAGTCACTCATGAAATAAAAATAATTGTATGCAAAATAATGATGTATGTACATCAAATTGTCATTAAATTAAGTGGTGGCAGAAGAATTATCATTGAACTTTTAAAAGAGAAGCTTAAATATTAATGTAATAATTAACCCTGACCACGCAAATTATAATCTGAATGCTGGCTTTAAAAGTCTTTTGAATTTTAACTCATCCCAAATTGGTTTTTCATATTTTTCTGGTGTTCTGAAATAAAATTTATTTCATTATTCTATTTTTTTGAAATTTTGTTTAACATCATTTCACCTTAACAAAAGATTTCTATTATGACAGGTTTCTTTTGTCATACTATAGGCCACACTTTTCAGGTCACCACTTTGAGATTTAATAATTAATCACTTTCATACCTTCTTTGGTTAAAGTGACTTCTACTAAGGTAGGATGCTGAAACTAACCTATTAGTGCATGGCATCCAATTTTTTAGAGAGGAAGTTCATGATCATCACAAATCCTGGAAACCATAGGGGCACCACATGTAGTGCATCCAAAGCAGCAGTGGATGTGTCTAGGGCAGATTTTTTTTTTTCCCCGTAGTGGGTTGCCATTTCTTTCTGTGGTAGACCAGTTGCCATTCAAAGCTATAGAACCCAGTCTGTCCTGCTATTTACCCATAGCTGGGGGAAGAAACTGCATAAAAAAATTTTTTTTATATCTTTCAATGAGATTTCATTGTAAATATCACTATGGCCAATGGTGCCCTGGCCATTTAGTATTCAGTGATATCGAGCAGGGTTCAGGAAAGTGCTTTTTCGTTGAGTTGCCAGATCAGCAAGTAGAGACTCAGAAAGAGATTATTGTTCTGTATATTCAGCCTAGAAGCCATATTGCTTCAGACATCTGGGCAGCTTAAATCAAATACAGAATATACTCTCATGACATTGTTATTCCTCAGCAGTATTTTGTGGACCCTCCAATACAAGAATAGTCCTATATTTTCAGCATTCATTTGCTGTCTAGTCCACTATTACCCGTCGTAATAATGCTTAATTGTAATAAACGTATATACTGTGGTCTTATTGATTTAACGCCATTCAGGAAATAGAAGTTTATTTTATGCTGCTTACATCAAGGATTACCGAATACAAATTTAAATATTTATGCACTTCTAACTCAACCATATTTTTCTTCTACTTTGACTGTAAAATACATTTTGAAATTCAAACCAGGTTATTGATTGTTTGAAGAAAGCAAGAACATTTGCAAAGTTGTGACACAGGCTAACATACCTGGAGTTATCCACCAACTCAGCTAAAGCTCCGAACAAGAATTCATGGGTAGTTCTGCAAAACAAAAATACATGTAAAAGAAAAATGATTAAATGAAGAACAAATAGGAAAACACTTATAAATTTAACATGTTTAAAAAAAAAAAAAAAAAAAACACTTAAAAATGAACACATCCCATTACAAAGAAAATATCTAGAGGGAATATTTATTAATATCCTTTTACTGATAAACACACACTAAACACTTTTTCATATTACTAATATCATAAATGGAATGTAAGATCCTTACACTTGCTGACGATGTAACTTAATTTCAAACATTCACTTCCATAATTCTATGACTTACAGCATGGATGTGTAGGTGGTGCAATAGATAACGGCTCAGAATTGTCGGGTTTCTTATATTCACTTACTGTAGATGCTTGTGCATAAACTGACTTCATGTAGAGTGCAAACCCTGAATTTTTTGGCATGAATTTTAATCCTACCACCCCTGGAAAAAAATTACCTGTGTATAGTTCAACTTGTCATTCTAGCTGAATAACTCAAAGGGTTTTTCAGTGTTTCTTATGACAATTGGTGTCAAGATGGCTAAATGTCTTATCTGAAAACCTGGGAAAAAGAAACTCATTTAGTTTAATGTTTTTTTGTTTTTTTTTAGATAAACATTTTGTGGAATGGACAATTATCTTATGCCGTTACATGATTTGGACAATTTTGTTGTTACTCCCAGTACCTGTTGAACTAGATGTATAAAAGAGGTAAAACATTTTTCCTTTTAGAACAAGATACAAGTATTCCAAGAACAGAGTGGACATCTGAAGATGGCTAGAGGCTACATATATAAAATCCAAAGAAGAATCTGCAATGTTATTGGTCCTGATTTGGCATCTTGGCTTCACTCACTTTCCTACCCTCATAATATAGCTTCCCTGTACCTTTTCTATAAATACATTCATGGTAATTGTTCTACTGAACTTTCCTCTATGGTGCCTAAACTTTATTAATTTAAGTGCAGTACTAGATTGGCAGCTAGGTCTAATCATTTTACAGTTGAAATGCTAGATGGAACCATAAGTTCTATGCTAACAGTTTCTTAATCTGATAAGTATGTTCATGGTAATTGTTCTGATGAACTATCCTCTTTGGTACCTAGACTTTATGAATTTAAGCACAGTGCTAGACTGGCAGTTAGTTTCTCATCTTGCACTTCTTCCTTGTGGAACTCTAATCCGGAGTCTTGCTTTCCAGTCAACTTTGATCTTCAAAAATTTAAATGCAATGTAAATCATTATCTTCTATCTTCATAATCCCTTTTCTTTTATTGTACTCTCTTAATAATAATTTTTTTTCTGATATTCTCTCACACCCAATAATCCCTTGCATGTGGTGAAATAATTTTGCAAAAAGTCAAATGTGTACAAACTTGACCAGAATTCATACTGACCTAACCAATTTCTTGTTCTGAGTTGCTATTATACCAACTGCATATCATAATAGCTTCGATATATTAATAATTAAGCTATAACTGAGTCCTTCATCAAAAATATACTTGATATGAAAAGCCAACTTGCCACCTCCTATCAACTTAATTTTTTACACATTCATTTTGTAATTGAAGGATAAGATGTCTGTTCCATTATGCATTGGAATGACTGCAAGAATATCTCCTTCCCCAAATTTATAGACAAGGCATAGAGATGCATGTCAGGATTTCTTCCAAGCCAATAAAATAGGCCACTTCTCAGTCTAAGCAGCCATTTTTTTGTTGCTTCTTGTCTTGAAATCAGAATGCTGTAATCATTTGCCTGTATCCCTTTCATGTCTTAACACCATTCTTAGTTTGTGAACCTTTTGCCTCATTACTGTTGCTTTGCTTACTTTTGTCTTGCATTTATTGTTTGCTTAGTATTATTTTTGCCCAGTTCTTTTCTTTCTTATTGGTTATTGCAAACTTTGCCAAGTCTGTTCGTTGGGTATTTCTGCCAATTGCTTTTAACCATGGCCAGTTACTCTACAGTGTTTTAAAAGAAATACTGATCTTATAGTCAAAATTAGTAAGCTTTGAAAAATCATTTATGAACTATTTCTTCCCAATTTTATGAACAATCTATAAGTAAATCTTGTCACAGAACAGAAAGAATTATCCTTTTACGACTTCTGGTATTATTTGTCCTGCAAACAATATTTGTCAGACGCATGTGGATCCAGGTAAAAAGAAAACACAAGATTTGAAATTATAACAAACAATAACATACACTCTTCCGAGATAAGTTGCTAGTGGTGTTTTCCTCAAGACTCATCTTGAAGCATTCAAAGAATGTATATTACAAATTGTTTATAAATGTACTAACAAAAAATATATTACCGAAAAGTAAGGAAAGAGATGAACTTCATTGTTAATGTTAATGATAGTTCAACAACCCTTCAGTTGATGTGTCTGAAGTACTTAGACGCAGCATGTTTTAATGGAGAGAAAAACTTGATGCTCCAACAACAAAAATAGGAAAAGAAAGAGCTTTTCAAACAATGCACAGACTGTTATTTAATCAGGCATGGTAATTGTTATATAGTAATAAAGTGTCACCACCAACACTTGAGTTTGAACATAGATCACCAGTGAGCAAACACAGGCAATCCCATTATTGGATTAAGTAGATCACATGACCATAGAGGAAATACATAAATAGAAAGTAGTGTGACGTCTAATTGATCACTCATTTCTATTCTATCCTCTATTATTATATGGATCACTACATGGATTACTATTCAGTGGTTACTTTTTGAGCAAGTATTATCAAGGAAATATTATTAGTGCGAGTGTTGTTCAAAGGCATCTGACACCAGTATTGCTCAACAGCATTAATATAGTTGCATCTGCAATTACAAAGTCTCTACTACAACAAGCATTACGAAAGTGTCAATGTGAGTTCATTGACATCACAAAATAAATAAATCATTTACAATCAAAATATTCAGCCATTTTGGATAGACTGCTGTGTTCATTGTCTCGTTTTCGGATGCCAACACAACTGAGAAAACACTGGCATTATATACCTTTCTGAGTCCTAGACCCACGCTGACTATTGGCTAATACCTTCCCAGTATCATTCATATGCAAATAGGCAGCACCACCTACCCTAAGTACAATGTCTTCTCTCAACAGCCTATTGTGGAAGGGGATGCAACTCCTGGTGCTTATAGCAATACATACAACTCAGAGTCTTTCATCAAGCTGATCTGATCCTCTGTTACAACTATCAATCCTAATTCTTCCCATTTTGAAACTATGTACTAAATCAGAACATTTATAACATCAATCTAGGGGTAATTGTGTCCAACACAAAATCAAAAATATTAACCTAAGAACTAAAGTCATATTCTTAAATAGCTTCATCAGATCTAGACTGACATGGAAGTCATGCATGGTGCCCAACACATTCAGAAATGTCTAGACTGTCATCTATTTTCTCAGATGAATGATTAAGAATGGCTTCAAGCAAATGAAACCTTTAGGTCTTAAAACTCTCTTCCATCAAACCTCACAGACTGATGCTACAGAATCTCAGAGATTTACCAAATAACAAAACCCACATCACTTGAACACTTTGCAACAACAAAAATGACTAGCACATTAACGAGAAGAAAATGATAATGAGATAATCAAGGTGTTAACTTTCCACCCTAGCATAAACAAAAGGCTTGGAAGGAAACTTCCATCAATATTAGAAAGAGCAATGACAGTGCACTTGAGAAAGTCTAATTTTCTGAAAACCACCTTTAAGAAAATTTTTTTTTAGAAATTTCAACCAACAGTAAGTTTTTTTTTTTATTGTTTCCCTCATATATTTCCTATGTATTATCAACCCTTTGCAGGTTATTTAAAGTCAGAAAATATTTTTTTAGGTTGTATTTTTGGGGGGGTATAATAATGGTTTACTGATAAAAGTCTTACTGATTAACCCATAGCTAGAAGGAGAAGAAGTGGATTCATACCTTTCCCAAAGTTAATTGCACGTAAGTGAATATAAGAAACCCAACAGAAATTGTAACTCAGCTCTCTGATTAACAATTCCAAGCCATTTATCCATTACACTACCCATACACCCAAGCTTACAGCACCTGGTATTTCCAAGTGGTCACCCATCTAGATAATGGCCAGACTCGACATTACTTAAATTCAGTGATTGTACAGGAGCCAGTGTTTGAACATAATATGGCCATTAGGCAATACTACCTGCACATCCAAAATTACAACACCTGTTATTTCCAAATGGTCACCCATCCAGGTACTGACCAGGTTCGATGTTGCTTAGCTTAAGCACTCATATGGGAATCAATGTTTCAATGTAATATGGGCCATAAGCCAATATCACCAGCACATCCAAACTTACAGCACCTGGTATTCCCAAGCAGTCACCCATCTAGTTACTGACCAAGCTTGATATTGCTTAACTTTGGTGATCATATGGTGTTTCAACATGATATGGCTGTTATCCAACATTACCGGTACATCCAAATTTACAGCATCTGGTGTTCCCCAAGCATTCCCCCATCTAGTTATTGACCAGGTTCAATGTTGCTTAACTTCAGTGATTGTACATGAACAGGTGTTCCAACATCATATGGTTGTAATTTTTCTTTTGTTTTCAACATCAAAACATGCATGCAAAATGTAATGCATTACATCAAAATATTATTCATTCTTTTATTAGTGTACAAGTTTAGGATTGTTTAAAAACAATAGTAGGTGATTTCCAGCTTAAAATACCGGAAATAACAGTTGACAAATGTTTATTTATAGCAAATGTCTCAAGGTGACAGAATGCGCCTAGAGTAGTAAACGGAGACAATTCTACAGTGACTATTGTTGCCTGCCTGCAGTGTGATAAAGGTTAATAACAATCAGCCTAGATTAGAGAAATTCCTACTAAGGAAGTGGTGCGATTACATCAAATCAATAGCTTCATCTACTGCAAGGAAAGTCAGTTCACTGTATCATGCCAGAAAGTTTTTCTCGTCAGAGACCATCTTGCACAGTTACAAATCTACCAT